AACGATGGGCACATCCGAATCTTCGGAAGGCTATATCTGAGAAAAATAGGGCCAGATCGGTGCAGGACCAAGTCTCCCAGGATCGCGAGGATCCATACTGTCGAACGGCATCAAAATCTCGACTTCGAAAATGAGGCCGATTTTTTGCAAATTTAATGATGTAACCATCATGATTTTTTGCGAAAATCGTGAAAAAATGGATGTCCTTTTTTCCGATTGCAGTCGACTGGCAGGACTCTCCCGATCACGGACAGACAGGCCACGCCCTGATCGGCTGCCGTTTAGCACAGATATAGCCTACCGAAATAACCAGTATTGTAACGATGGGCACATCCGAATCTTCGGAAGGCTATATCTGAGAAAAATAGGGCCAGATCGGTGCAGGACCAAGTCTCCCAGGATCGCGAGGATCCATACTGTCGATCGGCATCAAAATCTCGACTTCGAAAATGAGGCCGATTTTTTCGCAAATTTAATGATGTAACCATCATGATTTTTTGCGAAAATCGTGAAAAAATGGATGTCCTATTTTCCGATGGCAGTCGACTGGCAGGACTCTCCCGGTCTCGAGAAGACAGGCCACGCCCTGATCGGCTGCCGTTTAGCACAGATATAGCCTACAGAAGAAACCAGTATTGTAACGATGGGCACATCCGAATCTTCGGAAGGCTATATCTGAGAAAAATAGGGCCAGATCGGTGCAGGACCAAGTCTCCCAGGATCGCGAGGATCCATACTGTCGATCGGCATCAAAATCTCGACATCATGATTTTTTTCGAAAATCGTGAAAAAATGGATGTCCTTTTTTCCGATTGCAGTCGACTGGCAGGACTCTCCCGGTCTCGAAAAGACAGGCCACGCCCTGATCGGCTGCCGTTTAGCACAGATATAGCCTACAGAAGAAACCAGTATTGTAACGATGGGCACATCCGAATCTTCGGAAGGCTATATCTGAGAAAAATAGGGCCAGATCGGTGCAGGACCAAGTCTCCCAGGATCGCGAGGATCCATACTGTCGATCGGCATCAAAATCTCGACTTCGAAAATGAGGCCGATTTTTTGCAAATTTAATGATGTAACCATCATGATTTTTTGCGAAAATCGTGAAAAAATGGATGTCCTATTTTCCGATGGCAGTCGACTGGCAGGACTCTCCCGGTCTCGAGAAGACAGGCCACGCCCTGATCGGCTGCCGTTTAGCACAGATATAGCCTACAGAAGAAACCAGTATTGTAACGATGGGCACATCCGAATCTTCGGAAGGCTATATCTGAGAAAAATAGGGCCAGATCGGTGCAGGACCAAGTCTCCCAGGATCGCGAGGATCCATACTGTCGAACGGCATCAAAATCTCGACTTCGAAAATGAGGCCGATTTTTTGCAAATTTAATGATGTAACCATCATGATTTTTTGCGAAAATCGTGAAAAAATGGATGTCCTTTTTTCCGATTGCAGTCGACTGGCAGGACTCTCCCGATCACGGACAGACAGGCCACGCCCTGATCGGCTGCCGTTTAGCACAGATATAGCCTACCGAAATAACCAGTATTGTAACGATGGGCACATCCGAATCTTCGGAAGGCTATATCTCACATGAATAGGGCCAGATCGGTGCAGGACCAAGTCTCCCAGGATCGCGAGGATCCATACTGTCGAACGGCATCAAAATCTCGACTTCGAAAATGAGGCCGATTTTTTGCAAATTTAATGATGTAACCATCATGATTTTTTGCGAAAATCGTGAAAAAATGGATGTCCTATTTTCCGATGGCAGTCGACTGGCAGGACTCTCCCGGTCTCGAGAAGACAGGCCACGCCCTGATCGGCTGCCGTTTAGCACAGATATAGCCTACAGAAGAAACCAGTATTGTAACGATGGGCCCATCCGAATCTTCGGAAGGCTATATCTGAGAAAAATAGGGCCAGATCGGTGCAGGACCAAGTCTCCCAGGATCGCGAGGATCCATACTGTCGAACGGCATCAAAATCTCGACTTCGAAAATGAGGCCGATTTTTTGCAAATTTAATGATATAACCATCATGATTTTTTGCGAAAATCGTGAAAAAATGGATGTCCTATTTTCCGATGGCAGTCGACTGGCAGGACTCTCCCGGTCTCGAAAAGACAGGCCACGCCCTGATCGGCTGCCGTTTAGCACAGATATAGCCTACAGAAGAAACCAGTATTGTAACGATGGGCCCATCCGAATCTTCGGAAGGCTATATCTGAGAAAAATAGGGCCAGATCGGTGCAGGACCAAGTCTCCCAGGATCGCGAGGATCCATACTGTCGAACGGCATCAAAATCTCGACTTCGAAAATGAGGCCGATTTTTTGCAAATTTAATGATATAACCATCATGATTTTTTGCGAAAATCGTGAAAAAATGGATGTCCTATTTTCCGATGGCAGTCGACTGGCAGGACTCTCCCGGTCTCGAAAAGACAGGCCACGCCCTGATCGGCTGCCGTTTAGCACAGATATAGCCTACAGAAGAAACCAGTATTGTAACGATGGGCACATCCGAATCTTCGGAAGGCTATATCTGAGAAAAATAGGGCCAGATCGGTGCAGGACCAAGTCTCCCAGGATCGCGAGGATCCATACTGTCGAACGGCATCAAAATCTCGACTTCGAAAATGAGGCCGATTTTTTGCAAATTTAATGATGGTTACATCATGATTTTTTGCGAAAATCGTGAAAAAATGGATGTCCTTTTTTCCGATTGCAGTCGACTGGCAGGACTCTCCCGATCACGGACAGACAGGCCACGCCCTGATCGGCTGCCGTTTAGCACAGATATAGCCTACCGAAATAACCAGTATTGTAACGATGGGCACATCCGAATCTTCGGAAGGCTATCTCTGAGAAAAATAGGGCCAGATCGGTGCAGGACCAAGTCTCCCAGGATCGCGAGGATCCATACTGTCGATCGGCATCAAAATCTCGACTTCGAAAATGAGGCCGATTTTTTGCAAATTTAATGATGGTTACATCATGATTTTTTGCGAAAATCGTGAAAAAATGGATGTCCTATTTTCCGATGGCAGTCGACTGGCAGGACTCTCCCGGTCTCGAGAAGACAGGCCACGCCCTGATCGGCTGCCGTTTAGCACAGATATAGCCTACAGAAGAAACCAGTATTGTAACGATGTGCAAATCCGAATCTTCGGAAGGCTATATCTCACATGAATAGGGCCCGATCGGTGCAGGACCAAGTCTCCCAGGATCGCGAGGATCCATACTGTCGATCGGCATCAAAATCTCGACTTCGAAAATGAGGCCGATTTTTTGCAAATTTAATGATGTAACCATCATGATTTTTTGCGAAAATCGTGAAAAAATGGATGTCCTTTTTTCCGATTGCAGTCGACTGGCAGGACTCTCCCGATCACGGACAGACAGGCCACGCCCTGATCGGCTGCCGTTTAGCACAGATATAGCCTACCGAAATAACCAGTATTGTAACGATGGGCACATCCGAATCTTCGGAAGGCTATATCTGAGAAAAATAGGGCCAGATCGGTGCAGGACCAAGTCTCCCAGGATCGCGAGGATCCATACTGTCGAACGGCATCAAAATCTCGACTTCGAAAATGAGGCCGATTTTTTGCAAATTTAATGATGTAACCATCATGATTTTTTGCGAAAATCGTGAAAAAATGGATGTCCTTTTTTCCGATTGCAGTCGACTGGCAGGACTCTCCCGATCACGGACAGACAGGCCACGCCCTGATCGGCTGCCGTTTAGCACAGATATAGCCTACCGAAATAACCAGTATTGTAACGATGGGCACATCCGAATCTTCGGAAGGCTATATCTGAGAAAAATAGGGCCAGATCGGTGCAGGACCAAGTCTCCCAGGATCGCGAGGATCCATACTGTCGAACGGCATCAAAATCTCGACTTCGAAAATGAGGCCGATTTTTTGCAAATTTAATGATGTAACCATCATGATTTTTTGCGAAAATCGTGAAAAAATGGATGTCCTTTTTTCCGATTGCAGTCGACTGGCAGGACTCTCCCGATCACGGACAGACAGGCCACGCCCTGATCGGCTGCCGTTTAGCACAGATATAGCCTACCGAAATAACCAGTATTGTAACGATGGGCACATCCGAATCTTCGGAAGGCTATATCTGAGAAAAATAGGGCCAGATCGGTGCAGGACCAAGTCTCCCAGGATCGCGAGGATCCATACTGTCGATCGGCATCAAAATCTCGACTTCGAAAATGAGGCCGATTTTTTCGCAAATTTAATGATGTAACCATCATGATTTTTTGCGAAAATCGTGAAAAAATGGATGTCCTATTTTCCGATGGCAGTCGACTGGCAGGACTCTCCCGGTCTCGAGAAGACAGGCCACGCCCTGATCGGCTGCCGTTTAGCACAGATATAGCCTACAGAAGAAACCAGTATTGTAACGATGGGCACATCCGAATCTTCGGAAGGCTATATCTGAGAAAAATAGGGCCAGATCGGTGCAGGACCAAGTCTCCCAGGATCGCGAGGATCCATACTGTCGATCGGCATCAAAATCTCGACATCATGATTTTTTTCGAAAATCGTGAAAAAATGGATGTCCTTTTTTCCGATTGCAGTCGACTGGCAGGACTCTCCCGGTCTCGAAAAGACAGGCCACGCCCTGATCGGCTGCCGTTTAGCACAGATATAGCCTACAGAAACGATGTGAAAATCAAAATCTTCGGAAGGCTATATCTCCCAAGAATAGGGCCAGATAGGTGCAGGACCATGTCTTCAGGATCGCCAGTTAAGTAAAAAATGTATTTATTAATCGTATAAAACTTGGTGGGCATGACTAAATGTTCTATATAGCTGGGAATATTCGACGGAATATCAAAAACGAGGAATATGTTAAATAGAACTTGAATTCTTCAGTATATTTACGGTATATTTTTCAAATGAAACAGTATGTTTCGGTATATTTCTGACGGTCGGTCACACGCCTGCAATTTATAAATAATATTGTTTTTTAACCACGATTTAATTGTTATAATTTAACATTTCCAAAATGATGGTAAGCTTCGCTCAGAGCAAGAGTTATTGCGATAAAATGCGATGCACAGAGAGTTCTGAGCGCATTTGAAAGCAATTTCAATGACGCCTTACACGCACACAAAGAAAATTCTTATCAACAAAAATATGGGCGTAATTAGAGTGTGTATAATAAAAGGTTTGTTGCACTTGTAGGACGGCACGGATGAGTCAAATATACTAAACAGTCCCTCCTCGACCAACAATGGGCCTACCCTGGAGATAGCGTCGCCCACAAGTAATCCACTGGCTGGACCACCGGCAGCAACAGGAACAGCAACAGCAACAAATGGCAGCGGTTCGGCCACATCGCCGGACAGCTCCTCTTCGGCACCGGTGACGCCCGCTGCTCTAGGGGAGAATGCCCTGCATGTGGAGATCTCCGATGCGCTGAGCGAGAAAGAGAAGGTAAAGTTCACAGTGCATACGCGGACTACGCTGCCAGGATTCGCGAAAAAAGACAACAATGTGGTGAGGCAGCACGAGGAGTTTGTGTGGCTGCATGATCGCATAGAGGAGAACGAAGACTATGCGGGCTATATTGTGAGTCCACCTATAAAACACGATGCCCCGAACAAAGTTCTAATTGAGGGCAATTTTAAATCATTCAGATTCCCCCCTGTCCACCGCGACCCGACTTTGATGCCTCGCGGGAGAAACTGCAGCGCCTGGGCGAGGGCGAGGGCAACATGACCAAAGAGGAGTTTAAGAAAATGAAGTCCGAGCTGGAGGCGTAAGTAAACACGCAGTTTTCAATTAAAATTCCATTCATTCCTGTGGAAAACCTCTACAGCGAGTATTTGGCCACCTTTAAAAAGACAGTAGCCATGCACGAGGTATTTCTGCGTCGCCTGGCCAGTCATCCCGTCTTTCGCGTGGATCAGCATTTGAAAGTCTTTCTCGAATACGATCAGGATCTGTGCGCCAAGCCGCGCAAGAAGATGGCCATCTTCGGGGGCTTTGTCAAGTCCCTGGGCAAGACCACGGATGAAATACTGCTGAGCGCCACCGTGCGCGATGTAAATGACTTCTTTGAGAACGAATTGCAATTCCTCACCGAATACCATGGCCATTTGCGTGAAGCTGCCATCCGCACCGAGAAGATGACACAACGTCACAAGGATGTGGGCGATGCGCATCAGAAAATCTCGAATGCCCTCACCCAGTTGTCCACCACAGAGAAGGGCAATGTGGAGACATTTGTGGCCAAAACAGCAGAGATTTTTGAACGGATTAAGGTGTGTGTTATCTCTACATCGTTACGGTTTCCACCTGAGCCAAACCTTTGTTTATCTTAGAATCTGGAAACCCGTGTGGCCAGTGATCAGGATCTGAAACTGGGTGACACTTTGCGCTACTATCAACGGGACAGTGATGCGGCCAAGGCGCTGCTCATACGACGCCTGCGCTGCCTGGCCGCCTACGAGACGGCCAATCGCAATTTGGAAAAGGCTCGCTCCAAGAACAAAGACGTTCATGCGGTAAGATTTTTGGAGAGCTCTTACAGTGCAATTGTTTTTCCCTAAGAAAGGTTTTGCAGCGGGTCAAATTATACACACGCTTCACTAATTATAAAAACAAACTGTGTTTTACCTTCCATAATATACACATTCTGCTCTGCCTTTCCGCCTCTCTGCTTCTGCTGTCTTCCCTCCTCCTCTGTCACTCTTTGTGCGTGTGTTTATTGTCTGCAGCCTTTGGAGGTGCAAGAGGTATTTGGCATTTAACGTTTTTATATCGTTCTCTTAAAATCCGTAGATGTGTCTCGACCCCCACATAAATTGCTGCATGTACTCACATTTATAGCACTCTACTATAGCATGCCTTGTGTGGCCCACACGAATACTATTAAATAATCAAACTAATCCCTTTCATTTGATCATTATTTAGGCTGAAACTGCTCAGGCGGAGGCTTGTGAGAAGTTTGAATCGATGTCTGCCTGCGGCAAAGAAGAGTTGATTGGCTTTCGCAATCGCCGTGTGGCGGCCATCAAAAAGAGGTAGGTTGCTTATGCTTTTATTCTTGAAAGTTTCTTATTATAAGCCACTCTTATTTACAGTCTCGTGGAGCTCTCCGAACTGGAGATAAAACATGCCAAAACCCAATATGAATATCTGCGTCAATCGCTGATCTCCATTAAGGAGATAGCTTGAGGCTAAGAGTCATACGCACATTGTTTTCACATCGCCACGAAACTCTCCCCCCACATTGAAGATGAAGTAAATCAATTGTTTAATTGCTAAGCAAACAGTTTATTATTATACGGGCAGCAATATCCGTATCGGTATCGTATAGCCCAAGGAGCGCTGTCGACATACATACTCCCTCTTATTTGTATTGTATTAACGAATATTCAAATTTGTTTTGTAAAACAGAGCGCTTTTATATTTGTCTAACGAGCATTCCTCTATGAACTACAAACAAATACATATATCTATATTGTATTGTATTGAAAACCTGAATATAAAACGTGGATTATTATTGTACAGAAAAACGCCAGCTGTTTATTAGCTGTCAATAATTGTATCGTATATTTACAATAGCCATTGCTTGGAACCGGTAGCCACTGGCAACAGCAACAGCACAAAACGTTCCAAAATTTAGCTTAACAAGAATAACACTCATTCTTTCATCAAAGTCGCTTCCAAATTGTTTTCGCTATATTCTGTTTAGTTTTTAGTTGATAAATCACTTTAGCCATGGATGATTTCGGTTGCTACGATTATAAGCAGCCGGCGAGCACAAAAGTGTCGGATATGCGTACCTCCACGTACCGCGGCCATCGCCATATCACGGACCTGCGGATGGGTAACAGAATGAACGCCAAGTACTGTAGCCACAATAACTATGTGCGGGATCCCCTGATGCATGACAAACAGTTCACCGAATATGAGGCCAAATATGAGTGGCAGGTAGGTGGATTTCGAAGCTGCTTTACGAAGGATAATAGACTCCCTTTGTTCGCTTTTTTTAGTACGCCGATCCGAATATTTTGCGCAATCCTTCGCTCAACATGAAATCCCAGTACATGAAGCCTTTCGAGCAGGGAAATTTGCGCTTTATAAAGCGCAAAATAAAACCCATAAGCAGCGTGACCCAGGATACTTTTGTGGAGAAAATATTGCCAGTGGAGCTCGATCCCATACGCATACCCATGCAAACACCTGTGGAGGCCACCAAACTGATAATCGATCGCTCAAAGATTGGTTATAGCAAGTACACGGATCCCTCGGCTACCACATATAATCTCGCGTACGTGCGATATCCCCCGAATGAACTGTCTGGTGGGATCGCAGCCCACGATAATGTGACATTCTGGAACTGGTCCGAAGAGCATAAGCCATCGAAGAAAGTCGCTCGCTACCCGGATGCCACAATGTGCGATGACTTTCCGGCCAAAGACTGTCCAAAGCGGCGTTGCGAGTTCCAGAACACAACCAAATCGGTGCCCCATACGGGCATGAGCACAGAAGTGCGCGACAACTACATCGATCCGCAGTTCCGCGCCATGGAATTCAATGTGGATGTGAAGCCCCTGATGGTGTACGAGGCCATCACACCGTTTTCCAAGAAGAGCGAGTATGCCATATACGGTTCTGGGGAACCCGTAGTGAAATATGTTTAAGAATCTATATTCACGATTAAAGTTACTGCTTTATTCGAAAGTATTGAAGCTGTGGGGCAGTAGGCGATACACAGAGGTGACCAGCACCTCATCTTCGTCCCTGATGGCCGGTATGGCGCCCTCCCTGTCCGGGCACGGGGCATTGGCTATATAGATCGGGAAATCCCGGCAGGCAAATTCTCGTAAAAACTGACGGCACACGCCGCACGGCGTGGTGAAACCCTTTGGATGATAGGCCACCACTGCACCCGCAGTGTACGTCAGTTGTCCCTCGCTCACACCCTTGGCCAGGGCCGTACGCTCGGCACAGCAACCCGGCGTAAAGGCCACATTCTCAATGTTACAGCCGGAATATACGTAGCCGCACTTGGAGCGGAAGGAGGCGCCCACAGGAAACTTACTGTAAGGCACATAGGCCTCTTTACGAGCGACCACAGCAGCCTCTAGCAGTTCCCTGGCCTCTTCTCCTGTGGAAATGCGAAGAATATTTCTTTCAGAGGGATCTCTTCTTTTCTTGGTACTCACTTAAACGACAGTATGGTGTGGTGTATTCCTCCAGAATCTGGGGATGCGGCAGATTTGATGAATCACAGACCCGTCCACGTTTTCCACCAGTATGCTTGCCCTCTCGTCGCTTTAACTCGCATTCCAAATCGTTCAAGGCCTTTATGTGGGTCTTGAGGGTCTTCTTAAGCTGACGCCTCTTCAGCTCGCTCTTCATCTCGTCGAGACATTTCATGTATTTCTTAAGCAATTGTCGTTTATCAGACATGATTTTAGGTTCAAATTTAATTTGACTTTTTTTTTGTGGAAGCCGAAAGTAAAAACTGGAATTTATTGATAAAGGAGCTAAAATATCAAATGACAGAAAAGAGAAAGAGCAACCAGATGGTATTGATTGCAGATCATAGCCTGCTATGATTGGGAACCATTTTACCAACGGGGATTTCCGTATATGGGTTTTTTCTGAGAATTTATATGTATGCACTTTTCAGATGAGTTTCTTCTCAGTATTAATGACGGGGACTCCCCTTTATTACGATTTTTTTTTCTGAGAATATATATGTACATATGTACATATGCACTTTTTGGTGACTTCATTTATTGCGAATATTTTGCATTGCTTGGAGGGTTTATCGATAAGATAAACTTTAATCTTCCAATATATGACCCATTCAAGTATTATCTTCAATCTGTTAATTCAAAACCCCGCACAAGCGAATCTCTTGTTAAATAGTGTAATTTTTTTATTTCAAATGATTAGATTAAAAAGATATAGATTAATTTTGATTAGGGGGCAGCTCTGGGGCTCTGCTTGTGGCCTGTACTAGTACTACTTTCTATAGGTGCGAAAACTACTCGGCAACAGATTGAAAATGGATGTGCACAGCACGGGATCGTCGCTACGCAGGGGCTCCTCTTTATTCGCAATCCTCTCATCAATCGCCTGAGCTATGTAGATGGGAATATCGCTGGTGGCAAACTCCCGAATGAACTGCCGGCACACGCCACAGGGTGTGGTAAAAGCATCCGGTTCGTATGCCAGGACAGCGCCCACCGAGAACTCGGTTACGCCCTCGCTGACCGCTTTGGCGAGGGCTGTACGCTCGGCGCAAGAGCAGGGCGTGAATGCGGCATTCTCCACATTGCAGCCGGTGAAGATTTGATTGGTGGCAGTGGCCCGGAAGGCTGAACCCACTTTAAAACCACTGTATGGGACATAGGCACGCTGACGCACTTCAGAGGCGGCGAGCAGAAGCTCTTGAACTGCGGGATCTGAAAGCCAAAACATCACAGACACCACAATTGGGGAGAATTGGGAGAATCTTACCAAGACTGCCATATGTGACCACCTCTTCGGTTTTTTCGGGGCGTGCAAAGTTCTCCATCAGGTGCGCCATGATTATTATTCAATATTTTTCGGTGGTTTATGGAGGAGGCTGACCAAGTGGGTGCGCGGTTCGGTGTTTCTCCTTCGAACGTCCGCTGGCGAATGGACGGTTTGTGTTGACGCTGCCGACCAACGTTATCAATGGATACGTCTGATAGCTCTCTGTGTTGTTGTTATTATGGTGGTGGCAAAAATAAACTCTGCTAACATAGAGCGAGGGAGAGTCTCCGAGAGACCGAGTGAGCGAGCGATACGCTTAACAAGAGCCGCCAGAGCGCAGACGACAAATTATCAATGGAAGCGCCAGCTCGGAAAAGTGAAAACACACACAGATGCGATGCCTGTTTTCAGCAGCAGTTCAATCAACAAGAGGGAAAGGGGTGGTTTACACATAACAAAATGGAAATTACACATAAAATATTGCACTTAAAACCGATCCCTGCCCTTGCTGTCCTCTATTTGCCATTGAGAAAGCGGAAACCATTGGGCAGCAGTTGGAGCACACTGGTGCAGAGGACACGCAGCGGCAAATTGGTCGGCTGGGCTGCATACAAAGGGATGTCCTTGCCATTGACGAACTCCGATAGAAATTGGCGACAGACGCCGCAGGGAGTGGTAAAGCCATTGTCCTGTTGGGCCACCACAGCACAGGCCACAAAGTCGCGCTTGCCCTCGCTGAAACATTGAGAGAGGAAAATAACATATACTCTTCGTTCTATTGCTCCATTGACATAAATATATTCACCTAATGGCCTTGACGGCAGCTGTTCGTTCGGCACAAATGCTGGCTGCGTAGGCGCCGTTTTCTATGTTGCAACCCGTGTAGATGGAGCCATCACTGGTGCGGAGAGCAGCACCCACAGCAAAGTTGCTGTAAGGACAATAGGCCTGTTTCCTGGCCTCCGCTGCTGCTCGGATGAGCTCCTGCACCGAGGCATCTGGAAATGAGACCATTTAGTGCCTCTATAGATATTATTGCCGCAATCTTACCCAAGCTATCGTGCTCTTGCACATTGAGCTCGTCTCTTGCGCCATTTATGAACACCTGTGTCATTGCTAGACGTTTCGATTTCAATTACAATTTCCCAACCAAAAACCCCAAACACTTCCTCGAACTCACTCTCACGCCCACGTCCACGAAGCAACAGCTGTTTACAGTTACCTTTTCCAACACTGTCAATGTAAATAAATATCACTGTGTGGGTTTGATTTGTTTGTACATTAATTAACACAAGCACACACTGCTTGACTTGTGTGTACTTGTACTGTACTGCTTTATTTTCATCTTATCACAAACGTTTACCCACAATCGGAAAATTTCGATCAATAATATAGTAGCGTTTCGGCCGCAAATTAATTAGTAAGTGACTGTATTTGGTGGTTTGTCGTTCATACTTTAGCTGTAATAATGCCGTCGCCGTCAGAGTCATTGTCCAGCCCCACGAATCACCAGAGGCAGCCATCGGAGGACACTACTGTGGCCATGAGTGGAATACCAGAACGTTTGCCGCCCGTCAACAAGGATGAAAATCGCTATCCCTACTGCATTGTGTGGACCCCTATCCCAGTGTTGACATGGATATTTCCCATGATCGGTCACATGGGCATTTGCACCTCCAACGGGGTGATACGCGACTTTGCCGGCGCGTATTTTGTTTCCGAGGACCAGATGGCCTTTGGCAATCCAACGCGCTACCTGCGCCTGCACCCGAAGTACGCCCAGGGCGGCACCAATGCCTGGGACGAAGCTGTGTCCAAAGCTTCCGTTCTGTACGGCACCAGGATACACAATATTTTTTGCGACAACTGCCACTCGCATGTGGCAACGGCCCTCAACAATATGCGCTACAAGAACAGCACCAGCTGGAACATGATCATCCTCAGCATGTGGCTCTTTGTCTGCGGCCGCTACACTAGCATCTGGGGTATCCTCAAGACGTGGCTGCCGTTTGCCATCTTCGTCACCATCATCGTTCTGCTGGCGGTTTACTTTTAGAGAGGGCTGGGCGGGCGTCCTTCCAATGGTTATTTTAATTGTTATTGCTATGCCTAAGATATCTTTTATTTGTATTTCTTTGTAGTTACAAAATAAATGTACTTTAACATTAGTTAAACAAACTCTATCTGCTATGACTCAGCTATCATTTTGGCGGGTGTGCGTACGAACGTAAGGGAGATTAGTTTTCGACGGCTTTTGTTATTTCGTCGGCGTGTTCAAGCAGTTTCTTCCACTGCAGTATCGACAGGCAGATCCCCTTCTTGCCCGGCAATGTTTCACCGTTCTTTTCGTAGAACTCACGGATGTCGACCATTTTGCGGCCACGGAACTCGTTGATGCGTACCTGACGCATTCTCTCTAGCGTCCAGGTGGTGGCTTCCCCATCTCCGCCGCCACCAGACGCAGGCTTTTTGGCCGCCACTGCGGGAGCTGGAGATTCCTTCGCTTTCTTGCTTGCCGGCTGATTGCGCTGTGTGGCATACAACTGTTTAGAAGCAAATTATTTAGTGATTAATGGTTAACATACGTCATCGGGGCCACTGTCACTGCCGGACGACGAGGATTCTTGCTTCTTCTTTATTTTCGGCATAGTTGGTTGATTTTCTCCAGAGATTCGCTAGGAAAAATTTTAAGCGTGAATTCGCGGTAGTTTAAGAATTAGTATGGCTGTTTTTACTCCTCAACCACAATATAGCGTCTCATAGCCCACTTAAGCCCCCTCTATTAAAATAGTTCAACTACTTGAGGTAAAAGGCGGAAAATATTAACGATTGTACATTTTTCTTGTATCCTCTGAACTTAAAAAACACTATATCTTTTACCTGAACTGCGCTAACGTTATTAAATTTTCATTATATTCGGTGGAAAATTGAAATACACCCTTGGCTTATAGTAGGTTAATCGTTCTACCTCGCTATATTTCCGAGGGTCGGTCACACTAATCACAGCACCGGCGTCACTTAGAAGGCGCTTTTTTTTCTTTCTGTAATTTTTCAACGACGGGGCATTGTGTGAGGATATTCAAATAAACAGTCCAGCAAACTGCTGATTCTTCTTTTTTTACTTAACCAGCATAAGTGGTGAGTGTAGCAATCAGAGACAAAACGATTCGCCGTCAAACAATTTTTTTACGGCCGAATTTTTGCATTTGCGAGCCTGTACGTGTGTGTTTGTGCGCGTGTTCTCACATTTTCGTTCTCTATTAAACAAAAGTTCGAACAACATACAAAATATGGGCAAAAAGACTGATAATCCCGAAAACGCCGATGGCCCCATGTCCGAGGCGGAGGAGGAGGAGTATGCCGTGGAGAAGATCCTTGATCGTCGTGTTCGAAAGGGAAAGGTGAGTGCCACCGCTAGTCCCCCATGCCCCCTTAGATGTTTTATTGCTGTCGTCAACGGGTTGTGTTGTCATTTGTTATTCGAAGGTGGAATACTACCTAAAGTGGAAGGGCTATGCCGAGACAGAGAACACTTGGGAACCGGAAAACAATCTCGATTGCCAAGATCTTATCCAGCAGTATGAACTGAGTCGTAAGGATGAGGTATGTATCTGTGGCTTGGGTTTCACTCACAAGTGTTTGAGGTACAGTTGCGTTTGCAGATTTTAAATCGGAATTTTTTTCTTATTTGTTGTAGCAGGAGAAGGCAGCGGGGGGCAAAAAGGATCGTCCCGGAAGCAGTGCCAAAGTGAAGGAAACGGGACGTAGCTCCACTGGCACCGGTGTGCCAGCCAGCAAGCGCAAATCGGAGGAGCCGTCAGGTGAGTGGACTCACCACACCAAATGCAAATGAGTTTTTTAAAATAACAATTGTGCCCGATAGCGCCCAATGGAAAATCAAAACGAACAGAGCCTGACCAGGATAGCAATGACTCGAACGGATCGACTACTACGGGCTTTGATCGCGGCCAGGAGGCGGAAAAAATATTGGGGGCCTCCGACAACAATGGCCGCCTTACATTCCTAATTCAGTTCAAGGGTGTCGATCAGGCCGAGATGGTTCCGTCGTCAATTGCAAACTTGAAGATCCCGCAAATGGTGATTGGCTTTTATGAGGAGCGACTCTCCTGGTACTCGGACAACGAGGACTAGCCTCTCTATCAGTTACCCGGAGCGTGTGACCCATGGGAAGAAGCCCCGACAGTACATAATATTTAAACATATATAATTAGTTACGTAGTTTAATCTCAAGTGCACACCCCCTTTTCATTTGAGATATACCGAATCACGAGATATGCGCTTCGATCACAAAAAACAAATATTTTTCCTTTCTCCATCCCAAAAGGATTAACCTGTATTTCCATGTAAATTGAAATTAATAAATGCGAACTTGTTTTCTACACGATGAGGAAAAGTATATACGTATCTGTATGTGGATCCTTAGATGCCCTGAGGCAGGGTCTGGTTTTTTCCATGTGATGTCCATATGGAAGACAGTTTCTGTCTTTCGACCTGATTTATTCATTGTGTATTCGACTGGGATGTTACATCTAAGCGGTTCCCGTAATGCCATTACTAAGTTTTTGTTCTACAGAAATCAACGGCTCCAGTGAAATAGGCAGCAAAATAACTATTCTTTTGCATTCAACAACTTGTTGGCCACATTACATTCCGAGTTCTCTAGGACATTGCCACAGCAGGACCAGTGACGGCGTCCTGGATGCCCTGCATGGCCATGCCCGCAGCCACTGTAGCCGGGCATACGTCCCTCGCAGCTGCACTTCACACTCCTACTGCCCTTGCCAGAACAGAAGGAGCAGCAGTGGTAGATGCCCGTGTGGGGACGCACTTGCCTCGCCTGGAACGTGAAGGGGCTGCTCTTGATGGGCCGCTCATTGATGGTGATCGTGAGGATGAGAGTACCCTGGGAGTCGGGCGTGAAGGAGATATTGTAGGTGCCATCACGATTGTCCGACACTTCGATGGGCAGAAACTTGGAGGTTGAGTCCTTGTATTTGATCATGCAATTGATCTGCAGGCCGCCATGACAGAGGGACACACCATCGGCATCACGCGAGTGCAGCAGGAGATCGGCCTTTTTGTGGAGTCGCAGTTGGGAGAAGCCCTCCCACTCCAGAGTGCACAGCGATGGTTCCACTACCTGCATGGTAATGATGCCATAGAGAGGTATATCCCGCTGATCCTTGGTGGCTGGTGCCCGAATCTTGGGGAGAAAGTGCAGAGAGTCTGAGATCTTGGGATCCACGGGTGGCTTGAATTGCTGACAGAACTCGAAGCGTTTGAGGAGGATTCCGACAAAACTGAGTATCTCCGCATCGGCACCGATCTCGCACAGCTCCTGACTAAACCGTACAGCATCCATGGCCTCCTGAGTGCGTTTTTCTAGGGAATCAGATTGGTTAGAGCTAGAATGGTAATCTGAAAGATATTTTCTCACCCAAATCCAACTGCTGCTTGAGTATAATCTCCACTTTGGACTCCCTCGCGCGACATATCTGCTGGAGCAGTGTCCTTCGATGCACTTCCACTGCCTCGAAGTAAGCCTGCATATGCCGCTCCACCTGGCTATGTATATCATCGCATCTGGCATTGATGCCCCTGGCTATGTCGTTCAGTCGCTCGATCGAATGCTCGGCGTACTGGCACAACGGACGCGTCTGATCGGTGGCTTCTCGTAGAAGCTTACCCTGCTGCCCAATAGCCCGGGCTATGTTTTCATGCCTATGACCCTTGTGGAGCAGTACCAGGCAATCAGTGCAGGCCAACTGTCGACACACCACACAGAAGGCCTTCAGCTCAAAGTTGGTGTGCAGGCCACACTTTAAGACCATCTTGCTGCTGTCTCCCAGTCCCAGCTGCTGTTGCTTTTGCTTGCGGGCGCGTCTTAACTCCAGGATGCTTCTCATACGATGGTTGGCTGTAGACCGCTGCCGTTCGTGGGCCTCTTTGCACAGGGAGCACAGATTAAGGGTGCAACTGATGCAGTGATAGGTGGCCTGGAAAAGCATACCAGTATTATTAGTATCAGTATCTCTAGAGGAATCTCTTTTTTCTTACACTAATCTCATCGCTGCAGAGGGAACACCACACCCTCGAGATGACATCTTCGCCCGCCTGCAGTCGCAGCACTTCGATGCGCCTCACCAGCAGATAATTCTGAGGCAGCAGACGCACACCACCCAGGGGCACGTCCGTGGGATAGTGACAGACATGGCAGCGTATACAGCGTGGGGCAATGTCGCTGACAAAGCTGCCCGTGAACCGGGTGCTAAAGGAACTGGTGGATCGCTTGCCATCGCTCTTGGACTGTGAAATAGAGGAGTGGAGTCAATGCAGATTAGAGCAAGGAGCAGAGCTTCCTAGGACTTACCCTAACCACCAACCGATCCATGGATTTTTTGCGCCTCAAACTAAAGCTGGCTCCACGCTGCCTGGCAGGGGATACCGTCGCCAGCTCTGCACTCGATCCGCCCATCTCCGAGCGCAGGCTGTAGTTGGAGGGATCCAGAGCTTCGCTCTGGGACTGATCCCATGTGGCGGAGGCCTCCTCCTTGAAGTTCTCATTGACCAGGCACTGCAGGCAGAAGGAGTGCAGGCAGTGCAGTGTCCGCGGATCCGTGTAGACATCCATGCAGATGGCGCACTTGAGATCATCCGTGAAGGTGATCAATGATGTCCCTGGCGGAGTACTGGGTCTCAGGGTGATGCTCGGTGAGGGTGAGGGCGAGGGCGTGATGGCAGGCGAGTTAGAGCGACTCATGTTCATCGGACTATGTGCATTGTAGATCTCAAGAGTGGGTGGCCGTGCAGGGCCCTTCACGGAAGGATGTAGCAGTCGCGGCAGCATCTCCTGCCTGGGCTGTGAGGTGTCCGGCGTGGGTGGTGAGACCCTCAGCTCGGGGGAGGCCTTCAGGCTCAGCAATCGCTTGGGATGCAGCTGCTCCTTGGCTCTGATCTGCGGCTGGGCCACGGTCACATTGCTGGCCTGGCTGCTGCTGCTCTGCACGGACACGGACGAGGCACCGCTCAAGATATTGTCTAGCAGGGACTCTGGCGACGTGGAGCTCCCACCTCCCGCGCCGGCCTGGCTGCTGCTGCGCTCGCTCCCACTATCCGGCACTTGCGCTTCATCCAGGGGTATCTCCATAAGCGTGGGTTGGACCGGCGCTGGCAATCCCAGGGTCCTCGAGCGTCGTATACAGTTTCTCAGCTCCAGTTTGGGCACTGTTGGGGTGTCTGCCAAGGTGCCCTCCACTTTGGGTGAAATGGTGAAACTGAACAGCTGTGGGGCCGACTTTCGACGCACTGCCTCGGCAATGGGCATGGTCTGTAGATGCTGAACCCGTCTCTGTCCCTTTTCCTGAGGGTTCTTTCGCAGGGAAATCTTTGAGGAGGTCAACTTTATCATGAGTTTGCTATGTGCTCCAGTGGGTGGTGGAGGCGGTGGACCCACCGCTGATGGCGGCATAACCTTGGCAGCATTCTCTCCCTCCATACGTTCATAGTTGATGATTGGAGGGCTGCCGCCGCTATTGCCGCTGGTGCTGGCGCTCTTAGTGGAGAAGCTCGTCTTTCGCTTGAAGATGGGTTTTATGTGACTCTCGGAGTTGCTCATGGCTTTGGCTCGAACAAAACTATCCCTGTTAGTTTCAGCTCTACTTCTGGATCCGCCACGCCATCAGGCCCGATGCGTGTTCCCCTTGTGACTGCTGCTGGGCCGGGTCGGTCGGCGTGAGGTTTTTTCTTTAATCCAATTAGATTCGGCCCGCAACAATGGAAATGTAAATACGGGCCAATGATGGAAATGGGCAACACACGTCTGCCATTGACAATTGTGCAATCGTTTGTTGTGGTTGCTCTTTCGAAATAGTGCTAGTTTACTCATGCCCTCAGCCGGCGCTATCGATTGACTGTCTTTTTCCATAACTGATATTCCAAGAAAGAACCATCAAATACTATAAAATGGCAAAGATGTAGGACATCGCGAACCCATACACACGTGTGTTTATAGGTGGGCAGGTTATTCCTGTCCATTTCTGTCCGTCCTTACCTTTCCAATTTTAAGAATATTATCTAAAACAAGCTTTAATCATAATCCATGCTCAACGCCCATACATTTCAATGGTCATATGGTTTTAAAATACCATACAAATTCGTATACTCTATATTAAATAAAATTTGCATATAAAGGATACACAAAATAAGAATTTTTGTATTATGGGCAAGCGTCTTCAAAAAGTGTCATAATCTCTAGCGAATTCTAAAGACCAATACAAGCTGTTGGACCTAAAATATATAGTATGATAGTCGTGTGCACATATGTATGTATAGGGAGCCTGTTGCCAGCTCTGGAGCTAGGCAGAAAAAGTCGAGTACAAACTTTACTTTATGACGTCGGAAACGCTTCCTTCTGGGTGTTACACACATCCACTTTCACCAAATATAATATAACTCTATACTTCGAGTACCGGGTATTAAACCTAGGAAATGGCAAAATCCCTTTGCAGGCAAAAAACCCGTTAATTTACGTAGCTTTTAATATCAAAACATCTCTCGCAGCAAAGCTCAAATACGGCAGAGGATGCTTTTAACTATAGCAAAGAAAACTTTATGATTATAACCGTTCCCATATCCGTTCAATCCACCCCCCTCAAACCCCTTGAGTCCCCTGACCACTGCTTTCATACGCGGATCGGGCTGATGACCAACAGACTTGCAGGGCCATTAATAGAGAGAGAGAGAGAGTGTGACATAGAGCTGATTAAAACTCACACGAAGCTTTCTCTCAGCCACTCTCACTATCTCTCGTGGTGTTGGGTGGGAGAGAGGGGGAGCTTTTGCGTGTATATTTGCTATTGTATTTAACAGCTGGCCCTCCCAGCCATCGGAGGCAGTTCGGTAACCAAAGTGGATTCGGGTTGTTCGTGCGTTGCTCTCAATGTGTATGGAATTTTTTATTTCTTTCTTTGACCTGGCTTCCAAAGAATCAGCGAAATCGCAAACGCATAGAATGTGCCGTATGAACTTTCATTTCACTTTCAATTTCCTCGTCGAGCGTTCCATTTTTGTGTGATTTATTGCGTGCGGGAGTGCTGTAATGTGTATTTTCGAAACCCTGCCAAAATAGAGACATTCCGAAACGGTAACCGGACGACCCTTTTTTCCGACACATTACGTTGTGTGTTAGTGTTTTATCGTGAATTTGTTTTGTTGCTGATATTCGTGAGCGACGCACATTTCTGTTGCTGTTGTAGCGGCGTTTTTTTGGTTTGCTCCAGTTCCAGTTCCCGAAAGCTTCGAGTACACCCCCAACCACCTACCTATCGTTACCGGTATAAGCAGAAGCACCATGGAAGCGGTACGTATCTCCCGCGCACACCTTTAATCAGAGCCCCGAAATACAAAATCTGAATTCGGAAATATGCAAAACAAAACCCGTGTGTTGTTGTCTGTCGTTGTGTATCAGCCAGCCAAAAAGGGAGATAGACGGAGACGAGAGACGGAGTCGAGGGCATCTGTTACAAAGTCCATAAGCGATAATGCTGCTGGGCATTGCGTAAAAGGTTAAAGTCTCTGAGATTGGGCTTCAACCGTGTGTTGGACAATTACTAAGCAGACTCATGGGGCTGTTAGGACTTATAGACAAAAGTTCTTAATTTTGAGGTTTTTGTCGGGGGAATGAATGACTCAAATTTAGCCCAGAATCTGTGATAAGGTTTTCAATGCATCATCGTGCATATAAGAGTTCAGTCAGATATACATATACATATATGGGTATATTATAAGCCCAAAAAGATTTTTGGAACTCAGGGAAAGAACTTCCTATGTATTCCAAAATGAAACCATCGTTCCCTAAAATAGACAGAGCATCTCTTATTCTGCTCAAACCTCAACCTCTTTCTAGATAACCCCCCCTTAAAGATATAGCCCCTCCGTAAGCCATATGCCACTCAGTTATCCTATTATCATTTGTCTGAAAAGTTTTATCTCCATTTCGCGCACTTGTACACACAAAGGAAATAAAGCAAGATCTCGAATTGCAGTTGTAATAGCACCCCCATATGAAATAACAAACAACACTTTTATTGCAGTTGGAGAGGAACAATGCTACAAACAGCTACAGATTCGGCACCATTGACTATATAGTATTCCTGGGCATGATTGTGCTCTCCACAACTACTGGCATATATTTTGGATGCATCAAGTGAGTAACGACCCATAGATCCGCATAGATTGGTAACCGGAATCACTAATTATAGGAAGAGTAAACCGAAGCTAGAGGATACGGAACCCACTTTGCCTACAACAACGCCGGTGCGAAGAAAACATGATTTCGGTTCGGAAAAAATGAGCGAGTATCTGCTTGGATCACGGAATCTCAAAGTATTCCCCGTGGCCATGAGTCTGATAGCCAGGTGAGACGCCTACTTTAATAATTCCCTTCCCACATAATCCATCTAATCTCTGTCCCTTATTTCCAGTTATATATCGGGCGTTACGATACTGGGGACCACATCAGAAATCTACAATTATGGCACGCAGTATTGGTTTATAGCCATCGCAATTGTTCTGCAGGGTATTGCTGTATCATATATCTATATACCGGTGTTTTGTGCGCTACAAGTCGGCTCTTCCTATGAGGTACTATATCCATAAATAATTTGATTTACTGTGGAAGTGTTTCGGTAAAGTTCTGTCCACTGATAAGCAAGAGAAAATACTCATTAGTAGTGTGACATATGTTGCTCGTACTCTGTTCTGTTTCCCCATATTATTGTCTACAATCGATGGGGGAAACGACGGCATTTCAATTAACTGAAAAGCTAAAGACCGTTTCAGATTGTTCCAGGCTTCTATCTGGACTTTGCTCTCGGCCACTTGTTGCGTCGGCATAGCGTCGTCGTCTCAATGGGTCTCCGATCCGATATGATTAATTACAAAGTCGCTTTTTGCGCCACTTGACAACTGTCCGAAACACTTTGTTGTTTGTTTGTTTGTTTGTTTGTGCCCTAGACCAATTACTTCCTAAAGAACAGTGAAATTCTCTCCACATGACTGGGTTTTGGGCTTGCATGCACGTCAATGGAACTGAACACTGGACACTGGCTTATGGTTAGCGTTGATTGCCAGGCAATCACAGAGGTAGTATTACAATGGTATTCCTTTAACCATGCAGGTGCTCGCATTTTAATCTGTATAATTAGATACATACATACATATGATTCTTTCCCTAACAAAGCTCAGTTCGTGATGTGAAATTTCAAATAATTCTTGACTCTAAAAGTCGCACAATTTATTCCATTTGTGATTTTTAGAACTATCATTAGAATCTCTGCACTTGTATATACAAAATATTAAGTATTTTAATTATTAGATACTGATATATTATTTTCTCCCAAAGAATTCAAAATTATTTCCTTTCAAGCGCGTGTTTTTCATAAACTAGTTTTTAAACTAGTCTTTGTACTGACTCTTCCTCTATTAAGTTATCACAATAAAAATTTTTGGATGTAGATCTTCCTTAAAATTTATCTAAATCACTCTAAAATTATTTATAGATATATATGGTTTATAGATTTTAAAACAATAATTGTTATATAATTTTACATTATTTTCTGCTCTATTTTATTATAATTTTCTCATGTCTTTACTTTTACAGTACCTGGAGATGCGTTTCCATTCGGTTATACGAAGCATAGCATCTTTTATGTTCATTTTGGATGAGGTACAGAAGACATCGTGATTCCTTGTATTATCTTTTATGTAATATTAACCCCCTTTTAGATCCTGTTTTTGCCTTTCATTGTCTATGTGCCAGCATTGGCATTGAATCAGGGTAAGGATATATATTCAAAATCTGCGGGAATGGCTCTTTAATCTTTGATTAATCTCATCTTTATCGCACCTTTGCAGTATCTGGAATCAATCTGCATGTCATTGCAGTGGTGATCGTAGTTGTTTGCGTTTTCTATACTTTCGTGGTAAGATATTTTGATTTTTTTTCGTTACTTTCTATTTTCTAATCTCCAAAATTCGATTCCTTAGGGCGGCATCAAGGCTGTGGTCCATACAGATGCCTGGCAGGTGCTGGTCATGTTCCTCTCCGTTCTGGCTGTAGCTGTTTTGGCCACCTATTACGCCGACGGTTGGGATGCCCTGTTCGATGATGCTTCGAAGGGAGGTCGTCTGATCTTTACCAACACGAATCCCTCGCCGTATGTGCGGCACACTGTTTGGAGCGTGCTCATTGGTGGCTTTTCGTATTGGACATCCTTCAACGCGGTGAACCAGACTATGGTGCAGCGCTACATGTCACTGCCTTCGCTGAAAAAGGCTCGTGCTTCGATGGCCATATTTACCATCGGAGTGGCTGCCTTTGTCTCTGTATGCTGCTATGTGGGTCTACTGATCTTTCAGATGTACAAGGACTGCGATCCACTGAGTTCTGGTTTGATAACGGTGCGAAATCCATCGAGGAATCATTTATGTTATATTTTCTAATCCTTATTTGTCTTATCCTTTAGCACGACGATCAACTGTTGCCCCTCTTTGTGGTCCAAAGTGTGGGTCACATCTATGGAATGCCAGGACTGTTTATAGCTGGTATTTTTGGAGCTGCTTTGAGCTCCCTTTCGGTGGTGCTAAACTCCACTTCCCTGGTCATCCTTGAGGACATTGTTCGAGGCTGCTTCAAGATGAAGCCCAGCGAAAGGGCCTCCACTATTTTGGTCAAATCAACGATCATTGTCCTAGGCTTTGTGGCAATTTCCTTGGTGTTTGTCCTCGAACAGCTGAGTGGAATTTTGAGCATTTGCACCTCAATGACGGCCATTGCAGCGGGCACAACCTTCGGTCTGTTTACGCTTGGGATGCTCGTTCCCTGGGCAAATACAGTGGGCACTGCTGTTGGAGGGATAGCCAGTGCTCTTCTCGCGGGATGGATTTCCTTCGGCACACAGTTTACCATCGCAGCGGGGGAACTCAATTCCCAGAAGCTACCCATCTCCGTGGAGGGATGTGTGGGTAATGTCACGATGCCACAGAACATTTGGGTGGATGAGGAGCAAGTGTTTCCCCTGTATCGGCTGTCCTATCATTGGATAAATCCCATTGGTGTGGCTACAGCGATACTGGTGGGTGCTCTGGTCTCCCTGGTGACCAAACCAACGGAGATGAAAAGTCTCGATCCTGATGTCATATCACCAGTGATTCATAGGTACCTATAAAAACATCTGTATTTATGGGCAGTTCATAAATGAATATTATTCGTTACAGATTCCTACCGAAAGATTGCTTTCAAGGTCGCAATCTCCATGCGCAGGCGCACAAGAACCTCCTCAATAGCAGCACTTGAGTGCCAAAAAACAAAGCAAAGTCCTAAACCCTTTTTGTGGCATTGTATTTCAAACAATTTTGTTGTTGGCCTAGTTTGTAGTTAAACCTTAAACTTAAACGTAGAAATAATCTAGTACAAACCGAAGTACAGGAACCGATGAATCTGCATAAAGATAGAGGGATGACTGTAGGAGGATCCTCCCACAGACACAACTCCTAAATGCATAATCGTTTACATATTATAGTGTATAGTACATATTATCTGTATTATAGTTTAGAATTATTGAAAGGTTCTTTTTCTGTTTTTTTTGTTTTCATTTTCCACTTTTTTAAGCATTATTCTCTAATTTTGTTTGGCATTTTCTATTTGATCGAGCAGCAGACCTTTGTCCTCATATGTATTCCGTGTGACTTTACAAGCATATAACGTCTGTGATAAAATTCAATAAATATGGATCCATACACTCGATTTTATTAGATATATCTCTAGAATAAGCCACAGCAGCTGGGAATGATATGACAATCGTCGTCTGTTAATTTTCAAGAACAACTTGCTACGAAAGACCAAATTTATAATTAATCATAAAACTAATTATGCATGTTATAAATGTAGAGTCGTGACACTAGCTGCGACTCACAGCGTTCCCGCTGTCTTGTTCTATAAATAAAATTCCAAGAAAAGAATAATCAAATACTATAAAATTACAAAGATGTTGGCATTGCAAACCCATATCGTGTATGGGACGCTTCTTAGGTTGGGTAGGTTGTTACAGTCAATTTCTATCCCTCATTTATATATTATTATATTATATCTTATAAATTCCTTACATTATACATGAATTTGGTGGTCTGGAGGGTCGAGGTCAACGCAAGATCGAAGGCCGAATATCCTTCGAAGAAAGGCAACAATTTGTTTCCGTCAAGTCTTCAAAAATGTATTGCCAACAAATAAAATTATTTAAAGCCAAATACAATTAATTACAATTTATTTTTGCATCTCTCTTGTGAAGGCGTAAGGAAGGTGAGGCTGGCACAGCCTTTCTATTGGTCGGGTATGTTCAGTGCGGCTTGGTATGTACGAGAGCGCAATTAGTGCCAGAGGTTCAAGGGCGAACAGACTAATGTGAAAGGGGGAACTCCGGTACCGGCAGCGACCTGACCCGTACGAACCGTAAGCCCACAAGGAGCGACAGGAACCTACATACATCCTACAAGATGGCGTCACGGAACAAAACCCGCGGGGAGTAACAAAAATCAGTGGGAAGGTTGCGGGGTAATGCTCGTATATATGATATATGAGCTCAGATAATTATATATGCGTTTATAAGCCCAAAAAGGTATTTTTTGAAATGCAGAAAAAGAAAACATTGCAGTCAGTTTCCCTTTTTTGTCAGCCCTTTTTCCTATTGACTTACTTAGTTATCCCCCAAGAAGAACTGTCAATCATTCTACTGTCAATATACTACTTTATAGGACATTAACAAGTTTGTACACACAAAAGATTTAAGGCAAGATTTCAAATCTAAATTTGCATTTGTAATAGCACCTCCCATATCAAATAACGAACAACACTTTTATTGCAGTTGGAGATGACGAATGCAAAAAGCTACAGGTTCGGCATCGTCGACTGGATGGTATTCCTGGGCATGACTGTGCTTTCCACAGCCGTTGGCATTTATTTCGCCATCATCAAGTGAGTAACGACCCATAGATCCTCATAGATTGGAATAGACCGGAATGACTAACCATAGGAAAAGTAAGCCGAAGCAAGAGGAACCGAAACCCACAGTGAAACATGATTTTGGTTCGGAAAAGATGAGCGAGTATCTACTTGGATCACGGAATCTTAAAGTACTACCCGTGGCCATGAGTCTGGTAGCCAGGTGGGAGACCTACTTTAATGATTCCCTTCCCATATGATCCATTTAATCTCTGTACTTTTATATCCAGCTATATATCGGGTGTTACGATACTGGGGACCCCATCAGAAGTCTACTATTATGGCACGCAGTATTGGTTTATAACCATCGCAATTCTTTTGCATGGTTTTGCAGTCGTCTATATCTATTTACCGGTGTTTTGTGCTCTACGAGTCGGCTCTTCCTATGAGGTACTATATCCATACATAGTTTGATTTACAGTCAAAGTAGTTCGGTTAGGTTCTGGCCACTGATAAGCAAGAGCTCAGTTAGTAATGTGAATTTTCGAATTATTATTGACTCTTAAACTTGCACAAATTATTTCATTTGTGACTTGTAAAGCAATCATTACAGTCCCTACGATTGTATAAAATGTTCTATACATTTTTTAAATTCTGGTGCATTATCTCCTAAAATTTGTGTACCCTTCAAGAAAATTATTACAACCTGATACAGTATGTCAAGAAACTCTTTACACACTGAAATTAAATTACATTTTTTGACTTTGGATAAGAAAATAATGGTCTTTGGTTCAAATTTATCAAATTTTTTTAATTCCTAACCATTCAGGGATTAATTATAAAGTAGTTAGTGAAAAAAGAATAACAAAACTATAAATAGGTAACTTACAAAACAACAAAAACAATGATTACTCATTTTTGACACTGTCAAGAAACTCTTTACACATTTCGTTTTCGAGCTCTGTTTTGATCTCGTTCTTAGAAAAAACGGGACTTTACCGTAATCTATGCTTTTGGCGTTGCTCAGTGATGCTCTATTTTTGCATTGACTTTGATTTGGTTGCGAAATTTTGACCGGTGCACATGTACAGAGTAACATTCTGAAATTTTTAAAATGCCTGGCAAAAGACTTAGTTTTGACGTTGTCCAGTTGATTTACTATAATCACCAGTTGGGCAAATCTGTTGCAGACATGGTAGAAATGTTTTCAGTATCCAGGAAAACAATTTACAATGTCCTAAGTCGCGCGAAGAACGAAGGGAGACTGGAAACCAAATCTGGAGGTGGCCGTAAAAGGAAGATAGACAAACGGGCAGACCGCATAATCATGAGGAAAATTAATCAGAATCCGCAAATATCGGTCAGGACTTTGGCCAAGGAGCTTGAGGAAGACCTTGACTTGGTTGTTTCACACGAAACAGTACGTCAGGTTATTCTACGCCATAGATACTCTTCCAGAGTGGCACGAAAAAAACCGCTGCTTTCGTCGGTCAATGTGGAAAAGCGCTTCACTTTCGCTGTTAAGATGATCAGTAAGCCGGCAGAGTATTGGGATGACGTCATATTTTGCGACGAAACAAAAATGATGCTATATTACAATGATGGTCCACCCAGAGTATGGCGCAAGCCGTTAACAGCTTTGGATAACCGAAACATCATTCCGACTGTAAAGTTTGGAAAACTTTCGGTTATGATTTGGGGGTGCATCTCTAGCCGAGGAGTGGGAAATGTTGAATTTATTGAGAACACAATGGATGCCAAACAGTACCTCCAAATTTTAAAAACAAATTTAAAAAGCAGTGCGGAGAAATTTGGTCTCATTACGGACAATAGGGCCAAATTTAAATTTTATCAAGACAATGATCCCAAACATAAAGAGTCCAATGTGAGAGCTTGGCTGCTTTACAACTGTGGAAAAGTAATTGATACACCACCCCAGAGTCCCGATCTTAACCCCATAGAAAATTTGTGGGCCTATTTGAAGAAGAAAGTGGGAAAAAGACAGCCCAAAAACCGCAATCAGCTCAAAGAATTCATACTGGAAGAGTGGCAAAAGATTCCCTTTGAGTATGACCTACAAAAATTGATAAATTCGATGAAAAAACGGCTCCAGCATGTAGTCAATGCTAAGGGTGGACATACCAAATATTAAAATAAGTTAATTATATTAAATAATTACGAAGAATTTGGAATTTAAAAAATGAAAATATTTTGTGTAAAGAGTTTCTTGACAGTGTCAAAAATGAGTAATCATTGTTTTTGTTATTTTTTAAGTTACCTATTTATAGTTTTGTTATTGTTTTTTCACCAACTATTTTATAATTAATCCCTGAATGGTTATGAATTAAAAAAATTTGATAAATTTGAACCAAAGGCCATTATTTTCTTATCCAAAGTCAAAAAATTTAATTTATTTTCAGTGTGTAAAGAGTTTCTTGACATACTGTATATTATTATGTTCCTTAGAAATCCCACAATTTTCTTTCAAGCGTACGTTTTTTGTACCTTTTACAATAACTCATCTAATCTGTTGCATAAAAATCACAAAATATTCAATTTTTTAAACCTTCTGACAATTTGAATTATTATTCGAATCAGTATAATTAGTAATCATTCAATTAGTTTATAATAAGACATTTTAAAGCAGCAAAACAACTTTATGTTATTAGCTTTTGCATTTTTTCCTCGAAAACTCTCACTGAAATTGTTCTCTATCTGGCGAAATAATAGATAGAATCTATTTGATTTTACATTATGATTAAGACTAAAACTTAGTTGCTTCAATTTTTATAGAGCCATTCGTTTTTGAGAAATCATTAAAATCTGTGTAATTTAACTTATTTTTTTCTTGAAAATTCCCACTATGGCTTTAGGAGAGCACATGTTCCATATCTTCTACAAAAATATCTATTAAATATATATTTTTCGTTCCGTTGAAATGTATATTTATATTAGTTTTAAATTAATTTCTTCTAAATTTAATTATAATTTTCTCTTTTGTTTATTTTTACAGTACCTGGGGATGCGTTTCCATTCGGCTATACGAAGTATAGCAGCTTTTATGTTCGTTTTGGATGAGGTACAGACACACAGATGCTTTCAATTATCTTGTATTTAATATTGAAACCATTTTAGATCCTATTTTTGCCATTCGTTGTCTATGTGCCATCTTTGGCACTAGATCAGGGTAGGGATATATCTGTAAAAGCTTCGAGAATACCTCTTTAATCTTTGATTAATCTCACCTTTACAGTATCAGGCATAAATCTGCATTACATATCGGTGGTGATTGTAGTTGTTTGTGTTCTCTATACTTTACTGGTATGATATCTTGATTTCGTTATTCTTCATCTTTTAATCTAGAAAATTCCGTTCCTTAGGGCGGCATCAAGGCTGTGGTCCATACAGATGCCTGGCAGATACTGGTCATGTTCCTCTCCGTTCTGGCTGTGGCTATATTGGCAACCTATTATTGCAAAGATTGGGATGGCCTGGAAAGTCGTATAATTTTCACCAACATAAGTCCCTCGCCGTATGTGCGTCACACTGTCTGGTGCGTGCTCATTGGAGGCTTCTTCTATTGGACCTCCTTCAATGCGGTGAATCAGACAATGGTGCAGCGCTACATGTCACTGCCTTCACTGAAAAAAGCTCGAATGGCGATGGCCATATTTACCATCGGAGTAGCTTGCTTTCTCCTTATACTCTGCTATATGGGTTTGATAATCTTTGGGAAGTACAAAGACTGTGATCCAAAGATTTCTGGTTTGATTGAGGTGAGGGATCAATCGGGGAATCATTTGCTGTATTTTTGTAATCCTTCTTTGAATCCTCACTTAGCACGACGATCAACTGTTGCCCCTCTTTGTGGTCCAGACAATGGGTCACATCTATGGAATACCAGGACTTTTTATAGCTGGTATTTTTGGAGCTGCTTTGAGTTCCCTTTCGGTGATGCTGAACTGCACTTCCCTGGTCGTCCTAGAGGACATTGTACGAGGCTGCTTCAAGATGGAGCCCAGCGAAAGGGTTTCCACTATATTGGTCAAATCTACGATCATTGTCCTAGGTTTTGTGGCAGTTTCCTTGGTGTTTGTCCTCGAAAAATTGAGTGGAATTCTGGGCATTGCCATCTCGATAACGGCCATTGCATCGGGCGCAACCTTCGGGCTTTTTAGCCTTGGGATGTTAGTTCCCTGGGCAAATACAGTGGGCACTGCTGTTGGGGGGATAGCCAGTGCTCTGATCTCGGGATGGATAACATTTGGCACACAGTTTACCATCGCAGCGGGAAAACTTGGTTCCCAGGCGCTGCCCGTCTTCGTGGAGGGGTGTGAGGGTAATGTCACGATGCCACAGACAACTTCGGTGGATCAGGAGCAAGTGCTTCCCCTCTATCGGCTATCCTTTCACTGGGTAAATCCCATTGGTGTGGCCACAGCTATAGTGGTGGGTGCTCTCGTCTCCCTGGTCACCAAACCAACTGATATGAAGACTCTAGATCCGGATCTGATATCACCAGTGATTCATAGGTAGCTATAAAAAGATTTTTTCATGAAGAGTTCTTAAATGATTATTCTCCATTGCAGATTTCTACCCAAAGAGTGCTTTGAAGGTCGCAATCTCCCTCAGAAGTCGGAAAGAAAAACTATTCCGAAATCCTAAACTAAAACTAAAATTTACGACATTGCATCCAAACAATTTTGTAACTGGTCTAGTTTGTAGTTAAACCTTAAACCTAAACGTACAAATAATGTAGTACAAACCGAAGTACAGGAACGGAACTGATGAATCTGCATAAAGACTGCCTTTTTCTATTTGATCGAGCAGCAATCCTTTATGCTTATGTGTATTCCGAGATAAAATTTATTAATATGGATCCATACACTCGATTTTTATTAGAAATATCTCTAGAATAAGCGAAAAGCAGCTAGGAATGATATGAAAATCGTCGTCTGTTAATTTTCAAGAAAAACAAATTTCTAATTCTAAGAACTAAGCCCCAATTAGGCATTAAATCACAAAAGAGACGATTGACTCTTGTACTTTGCTCCGAAAGACCAAAATTTCTAATTAAGCATACAACTAGTTATGCTTTGAATGATTTTGATCTGCGTCCAGTTCGCGGCTCCTGCGTAAGGACTTCATAAGCTGTAATGCAATAACCATAAGGCAGATGATACCGGCACACAAGTAACTATTATAAACAAATTGCTGTGGCAGCATTTTGCATTTGGAAACCACATAGTCATCGGGTGTTAAAGTAGCCTGAAAGTAAAACCAGTAAAAGATTACCTCTTAAGATCGGTATGCGCATATACCCACCAGCATAAAACTAGGATTGATCTTATTCCGCCAGCTAAAGGAGGCCACCGTATACTCATCGATCCCCAGTCGATTGACGCTGTGACAAAAGTGATGCGAGTGTCCGGCAAAGGCCAAACGGGGCTTCAGCAACTCCCCCAGCATATCTGTGGATTCCTTGGAAATAACATGGAAACGCTCGCGATAGGCCTCAATGAAGGGGGCATCGTGTTCCTGGCACATCGTATCCGAGATGCGGTAAGTGGGAAAATGTTGCAGCAGTATGGGTTGGCTATAGGGATGTCGACGTGTGCGGGCACACTCGGCCTCCTCCGGATACTTCATGCAGTGCAGGGTGCGTGAAATGTTCTTGAGAGCAGATTCTGCCTCATTGCAGAACATACAGCCATCGGCCTCCATGGCCATGGAGTTGATAATCACAAAGTGAATCTGCTTTATGGTGTACAAATGCACCAGCGAGTAGTTTAGATCATTCTGAAAGCGCGACATGAAGAAGGGATGCATTCTACACGATATAAACAGGGAAATTAAGGCATATTACGGATACATAATGGATTTATAACCCACTTGTAATGGAAGCCAACGTCATGATTGCCCACAATACTAATTAGCGGTATGCCAGGCGGTAATCGAAACATTTGCAAATACCTCCAGACATATTCCTTGAATTGCTTATCGCTGACCATATCGCCCTCATCGAACAGGTCGCCCAACACAAAGACAACGTCGGGCTGAAAAAGACGTAATTTACAAAGTGGCTCTAATTAACGAGCGTCTACTGTATATTATATATCAATGGCATTTTGTGCTCCGTACTCGGGTCCTCTTACCTGAAAGAGACGCGAAGCCGCCTGGAACGCTCTGGTCATATGCCATTCCCTGTAAAACTGGTCCAGCCAGTGACCGCGATGAGGGCCCAGCAAATGGGGATCGGCTATGATCATAGCACGCAGCGGATCATCCACATACTTTCCCATCTTTCGCTTTATCTCTGGCCACTTGCACTTTTGCAGAACCACGAAATCGGCCACATATTCGCAGAATATGAGGGCGCACAGTATAATAACAAAACAGGCATAAAGCCAGCGCATGTTAATTTATGTAACACTTAATTTAGTATAACTACCGGCGAATTTAACCAAAATAAACACATATATAGTAAACTTATTTCGATAGTGTTTTGTTGTCCCGAACCTGTGGTTCAGAACCAGAATTTGGTTCAGTGGTTTCCAGGGCTGGAAGTAACACTTTTAAGAGGCGCGAGATTCGAAAACAAAACTATTTCGAATTTAGGCTAATATAGCAATCATTTTATTTGGAAACTTGTTTTAAAAGGCATTGCATTGCATTTTGAAAATGCCTGCAAGATGCTATCTAAAAGAGATCGTAAAAGTAATTAAGGCCCTGTCCTAGCTCCCAAATAGAAATCCCGACACCCAATTCCTGTGCTAGCTTCACCCGCTCATTGATGGAGTATAGAGTGGGATAAAACACAATGTGACGACCATTTTCGTTTCTAAAAAGATCGTATTACAAGCCGCCCTTAACATATTTTACACTTTCCCAACGAATTACTCACTTGATTTCAAAGAAGTTCTCCACATCGCGCTCATCGTAGGTTAAATGCTTCTTTACATTCTTCACCAAATCCAGATACTGGGAAAAGGTGATGGGCCCACCGCCATCGGGTGTATAGTCATTGCCGTACATATTCAGACCCAGGAGAATCTTGGAACGCTTGGCCTCCATATCATGACAGCCCTTGGGGGCAATCGTCTCCACTGCCTGACGAACAAAATATAGCGGAGCATTGGCGCCAGGTCGCTGCACACTAGAAAAGTCATATGTCATGAGAGAGAAGGCGTAGATGTGCTTGTACAGCGTATCCATGTGCTTCTCGCCAAACAGAATGCCCGTGTCTTTGCGGAAGGGTGGAATGACCAGGATAAGACGTAGCTGCTGCTTTTGGAGTTCCTTTGCTGAAAACACAAGCAAGAATCTAGTTCAACTCCATAGAGAAAATTGAAAGAACAAACCCATTTGTAGCACCAAATTGAAGAGAATCTTATCATCAATGCGTCCTGCCAGCTGAGACCACACCTCCAGCACCAGACCATCGAAATGATTGTCCTTGCAGCATTTAATCAAGACGTCATTGACTTTTGTGCGTTCCTTGGCATCGCTGAGCAATAATTTGATGTCGCGATCGGTAAAATGATCGAATATAAATCGAGGGAAGACTGAAAAACCATTAGAAAAGGTAATGTAGTGTATGGACATAGTCTTCAAAGGACTAACTACCTTTGACTGTTCTTTGAAGCTGCTGCTGTTGCACCTTCCCCTTGCGGCGGACATCGCTCACCCATCCAGCATCGATGTCGTGCATCCCAGCCACCGCATAGGCATCTCCTTGCTTAACAATTTGCAACCAAACGGGGGAGATGATGTCGAACTTCTTGGCAAATATCTTTGCCACATCATATCCGTGAGAGTTCCACTGAAACGAAACGAGAGAATGCATAATGCATCAGCGCAGACACGACACATACACAGTTTTCCTTTCCCCACTTACGGGCGTCACATAACCGAGGGTGGTGCCATTGAACCGTCTGGCTGCCGTGTCCTTGTGGTAGGCTCTGTGATGGGCTAGAATATCCTTGGCAAGGGGCTCTGGCGACACCAACCCCAGGCTAAATACATCATCGTCTTGGGGGCCACGCAGCAATTCTTTGTGTTTGCTTTTCGGCTTATCGTTCGGCGACAGGGTTCCCTGGACGCTAGACAATTGGCCGCCGCTCAGCAGGAGAATGACGAGGAACACGAGCGCATCAGACGCACGCATTTTGTGAGCAAAAACAGGAGCACAAAGGCATAAATTACACAAAAACAAATGGCATAGGAGTACAACCAAAAAGCCGGGAGTTTCATCGGGTACTGTCCGACCCCCAGAAATATACCGAAACATACCGCACCATTTTCAAAATATAATGTAAATATACTGACTTATTCAAGTTCTCTTTTACATACTCCTCGTTTTTGATATTCCGTTGAATATTACTAGCTATATAGAACATTTAGTCATGCCATCATAATTTTATCCAATTGATGAATAAATTTTCTACAAGATTGGATAGTATTTAATTCTTGCTTTTATTGTATTTATTGTAAAAAAAGGTTTCAACGAAAAAGTTCAACAAAAAAAGAGTCGCTATATTGCGTGTAAGCCGTAGTATAGGCCTTTGTATACCCTATTTTGTTAATTTTATATGAAAGTATAAATATTGATATGAAGATAACAGACCTTTTTCTCAAAATGACATTTTTTAGACATATTCATGTATATGATGAGTTTTTTGTATATATATCTCGATCCTGATACCTATTCTTGGTCCCTACAAAAAGACAATAAGCTTTAAAATATCGTTGAAATATTGAAAATAATATTAAATAATATTGAATATTATTAAAAATTGTAATATTAAATTGTTTTTGCCTGGGATGACAAACATATTCAAAATCCTATAACTTCCATTTCCCCCAGGGTATGTGAGCATGGAATGGGTCTCATTGTTCTGAACCGGTTATGACGACTAATTCTTGGTTATTCTTTCTTCCGTCGAATATTCTCAGCTATATAGATCTCTTATTTTTGCCCAGATAATTTTATATGATTGCTGAATCAATTTTGATCAGGATTAACTACTTTTAAGTACTTGCATGTTTTTTATTTTGACAAAACCACAGTTTCAACAAAAATGTTCAATATTCGCAGGCTGTGACGTCAATGTTGCTGTTATTTGCAGACTCATTTCTTGTCATCGAACATCGCCAATATCAATATTTATCCAGGGTATAGAACGCGCTTGATTTGAAACATAGGGCATGCTCTTGTATTTTTAAAAAGTTACAGGCGTTATACATAATTTACTTATCATAATGCTTAGCCACGATAATATTTAAATAAATCTTAAAGCATAGATCTAAACAGAGTACTACAAACAATTATATCATATAAACTAATTGGTAACTAATTATCACTTTTAAAAAATGAAATTGAATTGATTTAAAAAATTGTGTAAAAATAATTTAGGGTTTTAGAAAGAGGGGGCCGGCTTCACGAAATCATAATTATAATTGTATAAACATAGATACGTATATATATATATATATCTTTATCTCTTATGCTGGATGCTGCATATATATATATATACTTCTCAGACAAAGACACGCATCAGATCGCTGCTACTTGGAGTTGTGCCCCCGCTGCCACCGGGCGTCGAGCTCTTCCAAGGATTACTGTTGGCGTTAGGAGTGTTGCTGCCGCTGTTGTTGGCAATGGCCAGGATATTGCTGCTGCTGTCGGACAACGTACGCAGCAATTGCTTCTTAAGCAGCGGCTGCGAATTCTGTCCGACATTTGAGTTGTTTTGTAGTGGAAGAGAAAAGTTGGGGGAACGTTGCCGCAGCACTTGTTCTTGCTGTTGCTGCTGCTGCTGGAGGTATTGTGGCTGCTTCTGTTGCTGTTGTAGCTGCTGCTGCTGCTGTGGCTGACGTTTGGGAGACTGCTGTTGCTGCTGACTTTTGGCCAGAAGTTTTCGTCGCTTCTCATAGAAACTGTGTGTAAGCTTATGGTCGTGCTGCTGCTGACGCTCCTCCTCTTTCTGCTGCTGCTCTGGCTCTTCGATGTCAATTAGCTTCTCCTTTTTCACAGCCTTACCCAAAAGCAGCTCACTCAAACGTTTGGCTGTCATCAAACCCTTGCCCGCCTCCAGTCGGGGCGGTACGAGAGCCCGCTTGTTACACCTGAGCCGATCCTGGGCTATAACACTTGACTTCTGTGCATAGATGGTCTTGCCAGCGGCAGCGGCAGCATTCTTAACCAAAATCCCCGTGCCATTGCTGAGCGCCGTGTAATTATTTGCCGGCGAGGGCGGTGGTAGGCGGGCTAGCTGACCGACAACGCCCAAAGCGCTGCCATTCAGAGACAGCAGACTGTTGTTGGCCTTGCGGGTGGTCAGTAGATTCTTGCGCAAGGTGGCGCCCAGACCATTGGGCAGCTTCACCAAACCGAAAGTGTTCATGGCCAGGGGTCGTGGTTGGCCCGAATAGTGCATGACATTGAAATAGCTCTCCTCGTGGCATTTGGCATTGACCAAAGATTGATGCTTTATGCTGATGCTAGTGGCCGATTGTGGCTGGCTGGTGGCTGGTTCCAGTTTAACAGTCTTTGTTGTTGTTGCTGTGTCGCTAACAGTCTCCAGTTTTGTGAAATCAAAATCATTTAAGTCGTCGTTGAATTGACTGACATCTCCCACACCCACCGTGTTCCCTGCTGCTGTGGCAGCACCTGCGGCCGCCTGCAGGACATTCACATCGACATTCTCATAGCCTGCTTGTGTAAGGAACTCTGCTATGACCTTTTGCTGCTCCAGCACCGACACCGGATTAGTGTCTGTAATCTCATATATAATACTTGGCAGTATCATATGCTCATCGAGCTGTTGCTGTTGTTGCTGTTGCGGCTGCAGTTGCTGATGTTGGTGTTGCTGTTGCGCCTCCGCATCGTCTGTCAGCGATTGCACATTATACACACTGAACTGTTGCTGTTGTCCATTGGCATTCGGTTGCAGTTCATCTGGCAGCTCTTGCTTGTGCTGCTGCTGTTGTTGGTGTTCTGCTTGCTCGAGCATCTGCTGCTGCTGGTAGATGAGCTGCTGCAACTGCATGGCATCGATGGTGGTCAATTGACTCTGGTTATCCTCACCGTAGACCTGCTGCTGCGGCTGCTGTTGCTGCTGCTGCTGGTAGATATATTCGTCACCCATTTCGGCACCAACCGTGCCATCGTCATAGCGCAGTCTTTTTGTGGCTTGCGGCGCATGCTGAGGTGTTTCATTTGGCTGTTGTTGCTGCTGCGGTGGCTGCTGCTGTTGCTGCTGGGAGGTGTCCAGCGCACTTTCATCAAAGTTTTTCAGAATCTCATTGATCAATTTGCTGTCCAGCATCTCATCCAGAGTCAGGGAAATGGAATTCTCATCGGATGTGTTTGGCAGGGGCAATTCTTCCTCTTCGGGTGGCACCTCCTGGGACTCCACTTGCCCGGTAATGGAGGACACAGCCTGATCGAGTTCACTCATCAACACTGGCTGGGTCTGATGCTGTTGCTGTTGTTCATACTGGCTGCTGCTGGTGCTGTTGCTGCTGACCAATGGTTTATCCTTGGACGCTTTTGTTCGATGATCGCTGGAAACCTTCAGCTAAAACACACGAATTTGATTAGAAAACGTTTGTCTTGGCCAACCACACAAACGGAGCACACTACCTTCTTCTTTGGCTGGGGCTCGGGCTGCTTTTCGTCCAACACCGCACCACCCGGATGATTGGCAGGAGAGTAATTCAAGCTTAGACCCACCCCCCCCAGCTCGCTCGTTGGCAGGGAGCAGGACGAGTTCGAGGATGAGGAGAACACCGTTATGGGCGCCGGTGCAAACTCTTCTTTAATGCTGCCGGCCACCGATCCTCCGACTGCTGCTGGGGGAGCGGCTATGGCACTACTACTTATGCTGCTGCTGCTACTCTTTTTGGAGGAGCCGCCTGTCTTTTCCTTGTGATTCGGATTCGACTCTGGGGCAGGAGCTGGTGACGAATGGTGGCGATTTTTCGATGATTTTGATCGTGAGCGACTGGTCCCACTGCTGCCCTTCGAGGAGGAACTGCTACTCTTGCTGCTGCTACTGCTTTTGTGACGCGACGATGATGAGGACGACGAGCTGCTCGTGGGATTGGTGGCCGCTGTGTGCAAGGATGCCGAACTGCTCGAACCATTCGAACAGCTGGACATAGTGGAGCCGGACAGGGTTTCCGTGGGTGAACCTCCAGCCAGATTGTCGCCCCCCGTTGCTGTCTCCTGCTGGCCTGTGGTGGTGGTGGTGTCTCCTGTGGCAGTGAGCGGATTCACTTTGTTCGATGTGGCCTCCCAGATGGCCGGATGCTGCAATGCTATGTGGTTCTGGAACCCTGCCTTCGTGTAGCTGCCGTTGCAGGTGTTGCACACGACCAGGTCGCGGGTGGCCAGCTTTGGGACGATGTCATAATAGGCCATGTCCGCCGCATTGAGACGCTGGACATGGAGCTTGGTTTGGTCTTGGCTACTGCCGCTGCCACTGCCACTGCTCGTGGGCTTCCCTCCTCCTCCCCTCAGATAGGTCTTCTCCGCTGCGCGCAGCTGTTTGATCATCTTGTCCATGTCAAAGACCTGCGTCCATTTCTGTCCATGGAGGCTGGCCAGGGATACACCTCCGCCGCCAAAGAGTGCACCAATACCGCCGCCCCCGCCACCACTGCCACTGCCACCAACGCCGCCTCCTCCTGTCATCAAATCAGCTTTGGATGAGTTGGACATGCTTTTGTGCTTGGTTCCATTCTCTGCATAGATTATGCCCGCCGCTCCAGTGGCCGCCAGTGCATCATTCAGGGGCATGGTGTGTGGAGATGGTGGCAAGTACAAAAACGGAAGCTGCTGCTCCTGCTTCTCAATGGGAGAGCGAGAGAGAGAAGGTGGGTAGGTAGGGTAGTAGACGAGCGAGAGAGTTGGCTTAGTGAGGCGCCTCGAGCGCAACTGCAAAAAGAAAATCAGGGGATATTTTTGTTAGGGAAAAGCTTACAGGTGAGTGTTTCCCCCCCTTCCCCCGCTATCCTACCTATCCTACGCACACCCACACATACGCCCGCCTCCCTGACACACGCACACGAGAAACTCTTTGGACAATCGATCAGCTGTTTTTGACAACCGCTTCTAGTTTATTGCTATCTCATTCGCGCTTACACATGCGCACGCATTCACGGACGCACATATACACACACACACGCACACTTTCAAACACAAACGCACGGCATACAAACAAAGCACAATAGAAAGAAAAAAAAATCGTACCAAATATCGAAACAGTTTTCACTAGTTTTGAATGATGACTGATTTTTACTTACTTTCGCGTTAACACACTTCCATTTTGTGTGAGTGGCTTGCTTTGTTTTTGTTCAATTTTTTATCAAAATAAATTTTTCCTCTCGCGTATCTGTTTGCTAGAGTTGTCAACGTCCTCACAGAATAGAGGTGGGCAAACGACGATGGTTTTAAACCATCGATGGACCCCAATTTCGATGTTTTCCCACCTCTATCACAGACAAACCTTTGAGGGAAGATTTTAAAATTTAATTTTCCGAATAACTAATGGCCAAAGAGGGCAATTTCATGGAGCCTACTCCTCCTCATCACTGAAATCCTCCTCTTCCCTGCGTTTTCTTGTCTTGCGCTCGATTTCGCGGGCATGCAGGTCCTTAAAGGCCTCGTATTCGGGCAGTGTGACATGGCAGATCTTTGTGGCGAAAGTCTTCTCTGATGTGTCCGTAATCTGGTACAATCTATGGTTGGTGGTCGGCTCATCGGGATCTGCTTTCAGTGCACGTGGCTTGAACAAGCCCAAGCGCACCAGGAACTGGTGCCGGCAGCGCAGTTCCTCAAAGGCCATCGATAGTCCCGCGGATTTGACCAATTCTGGCACCTCTATGCGCATAACATCTATGATATAGTCTAGTTTTTCCTCTATAGTTTTCTCGGATTGCGCCAGCAAGTTGGGGCTGTTCATCAGCAGCTTCCACACATTTTTGTTGGTCGAAACACGACTCTTCAGGAAGCCCACGTGGGAGAGCAACTGGTGGGAATCGCTGACGTCCAACAGCTCAGGATATTTGGTCAGTAGCAGGTGCAACAGAGTCTCCCCAAACTGGCATGCACGCCAAATCTCCAAGCTGCTGATGATGCGCTCTGGCGTGCGTCTCAAAACCGCCGGATTGGCGGTAACTATGCGCAGAAAGTTCACGGTTGCCAGACCATGATTTAGGAAGGTTTCATGGGCACGACGCCACACTTGTTTTGTGTAGATGGATAGTGTGGGTTCCAATTTAATGGCCTCCTCGATGTGGACCTGCTGCAGCTCCAATATTTTCGGTGCAGCGGCTTTTATGGCAAAGTACCGCGTGCATTTTAGCTGAAGTATTCATTATTTAAACTGTTCTTTTGTTGCTCTGTTATACGCTTACCTTTTTCTGTTGACTTAATGCAATTTGCGGGTTAAATAATAGTTTTCTTAGCATACTGCAGTAAAATTATTGTAAGGGTGCTGGTTCAAGTGCGAAGTAGCAACAAAAACAAAACAAGAAACAGCTGATGCGGTCTCGTTCTTCTTTGAAGTAATATTCTTAGCCCATTGGGACCCAAATTTAAATAGCCATGAAAATGGTAAAACTTAAAAAACTGGTGAAAGCTATCGCAATAATTATATGTGTCAAGCAAAGAGGATAGATGAATCTACAAGGAGAATTTTCAAACAGAACAGGTTTTTGTGTGTATGAAAATTTCATCAAAATCATATGAGCTTAGGCCCGACATGGGTTAACGTTCCCGTGAACGTGCGCACCGTTTTGTTTATAAATAGAACTGTCGTTCTGTGAGAGCTAAAAACAGTGGAAAGTTTTATCCAACCGCATAGTTCTGCTCCAAGTTCAGGGTAAGAACGATTAAATTAGATTGTGGGTGTTTGATGGCAACGTAATTATGAAAAAATAACATTTGCCGGTTGACAGGCGTTCAAGGTTGTGCGGCATTTAAATATTCAAAGTGCGTTGTGAAATATAAGGAAATCTAATTAATATTACACGTGTGCAGCGGAAATGTACAATAAATGCAATTGTTTAAACACCTGTTGACAAAAAAAAATCAACTGCAAAATACAGATCCGTTTCCAGGGAAACTTTAAGACACAGTGTCGACTAGAATATTATGACCGCTTTCTTAAGAGGACAACTAGTAACTTATCAAATTTTTTATCAGCTAAAATCACTTCTATAAAGTTTTAGCCCTTTTGGAGTTCCCCGTTTAATTACCCTGGAATTTCCAACTGAAAACTAATCAGTATAGTAATTACAGAAGCGTCTAGGGTACTAGAACCATCTTCGTGCCTGACAATATCAGTTACAGTAGCGTCTAGGAAAGTAGAACACCTTTCGTGCATTGATTGGAAAAAATAGAGAGAGAGCAAGACCTCAATTATTAAAGCAGTAGATGTAAGTTCTAGAAAGTTAAAGGTTAAAGGACACACGAGAATAAAAGTTACAGTAGCATCCAGGAAGGTGGCTAACATACCTTCGTACATCGGAATTTTCTACATCTGGAAAATACCCCTCTTCTCCCACTCCAGGTGTGCGAATATCAATGACAGTGGCATCTGGGATACTAGAAACACTCAAACAAAAGTTTCAGTTGTCCAATAAAAAACAATCTTTGGATGAACCAGCAATACATTGCTTTCAGAGGGCTCGCTCATCGTTATTTGATAGTAATCGCACCTGAAATATGTCAAGTAATGATGGGCGTATACCTCCCGGCAAGGTCAAACTCAATAACATTGTGAAATAAACCGATTTCCTTCTGTAAATTAAGATTCAAACAAAATGCACAGTAGAAGATAAGCCCCATAAGTATTTCCAGAGGGGGCTCTCTCTCTCTCTCTTTCTCTCTCTTAACTGATAAGAGACAACGCACCGCACGGACACACACCTCTCTTTTTCCGTATTTAATAAACGCCGCACACTGCCGGCCCACCATTCATTCGCAGATCAACAACGAAAGAGCACTCGATAGACATGGCAAAAATCATACGTTGGGGCATCGCATCGGCTGGAAAGATCAGCGAGGATTTTGTGATTGCATTGAGCACACTGCCTGCCAGCGATCACAAGGTCCAGGCTGTGGCCGCTCGCGCTTTGGATAGGGCACAGGAGTTTGCCAAGAAACATGAAATTCCGAGTGCTTATGGCAGCTACGAGGAGTTGGCCAAGAGCAAAGATGTCGGTAAGTACCAAGAGCAATATATACCCTCCAAGAGGAGTATTAATGGTTTTCTTATTTCCCATAGATATCGTCTACATTGGCACCCTTAATCCCCAGCACTATGAGGTCTCCCTGCTGATGTTGAACAGTGGCAAGCATGTTCTCTGCGAGAAGCCTCTGGCCATGAACAAGAAGCAGGTGGAGGGCATCCTGGCTGCCGCCAAGGCCAACAAACGCTTCTTCATGGAGGGCGTATGGTCACGTTTCTTCCCTGCCTACCAGCGTGTTCGTGAGGCGATCTCTGGGGGACAATTGGGCGAGGTTAAAGAGGTTGTGGTTAACTTTGGTTTCCCCCTAGGCAATGTGGATCGTTTGCAGTGAGTGACAGTCACCCTTTCCCTCCGATTTTTTTTTTGTAAATAATTCTCTATTTTCCTTTAAGGAAACGCGAATTGGGTGGAGGAGTGGTCTACGACCTGGGCGTGTATACAATTCAGGTTTCGCAGTGGGCCTTCCAGGAGAAGCCACTGAAAATCGAATCGAGTGGCACCACCAATGCCGAGGGCATTGATGATGATGTGAGTTCCACTTTGACCTACACCGGTGGACGCACTGCACGCATGCGATTCTCCTCCAAGGTAAAACTGGACAACACCGCTGTGATCAAGGGCACCAAGGGACAAGTGACGGTAGGCATTTGAACAGCCGCGTATTGCCAGATAAATGGTTTTTAATTGTGGATTTTCCTTTGCGTAGCTGATTGATTTTTGGTCCCCCAACAAACTGATCGATATCGATGGCAAGGAGAAGGAGTGGGTTCCGCCCAAGGGCAAATATCCAACAAATTATGGCAATTCCGAGGCCATGCGCTACGAGGCGGAGGCTGTCCGCCAGTCCATACTCGCCGGCGATGTGGAGAACAAGAACGTGAGCTATGCTGACAGCCTGCTCATTGTTGAGATTCAGGATACCATTCGCAAGCAGATCGGTGTGCTGAATAAATTCGATGAGGAATGAATTTATAGATTGTATTAACCCATCAAATATATTAAATATTTTTTTAAATAAATGAAAACACTTAAATGTAGCTCCATCTTAGCCATGTGGCACTTGGGAAACTCCTCTCTCTCATTTCGATTTAACAAACACTGCGATAAGGGGCGAGAATATTGATTGTAGAATGACATTCCCATAGGTCGATGCTCAAAATGATTGGGCACAAAAGATCACGTTTTCATTGCGTGATGGAATTCGTTCTTAATGAAAAGCGAGGCGCAGAGGCAGGGTTTCTCTTATCTTAAAGTCTAGTGGGGTTTCTATATCTTATCTGGCGGGAGGTCTAGTACGCGTTGAGCTAGAAGTTCTAAAAGAATGCAACAAACGAATTCTTAAAGGAGTAAATCCAAATGCCGCACATAAAACCTATTGTAAATCTCTTCTTTTCCATAAAATTCTAGAAACTCTTAGTTCTTAGCACTATCAGCATTTGTTTGTGGTGTTTCTTGGGCTTCTAAATATTTTGCACAACTGTACTTTTTGCCTCACTCGTAGACTTTTATAGACATTTGTGGGTTATCTTTTGATAGTCTGAAAAAAGGGGCTCGTCTTCTGAGAGATAACGAGCAATTACGCCATTTGTCCATTGTTTTAATGGCGTAGAACACTTGAAAGCTAAAGAGTGCCTCTAGAGAGATTCCCAGTAGACCTTGAGATGCCTTCGAGAACTGAGAGCGGAAATGCGAACATATTTACAGAGAATTACATTTATCTATGATAAATGGATATCCAAAAGAGAACAGAATGGTAATTGAAGGGGTTTCCTTATAGTAAGAACCCTACCTATAAATAGCTTACAATATAATACAATTTAACAGTTTCCCTTTCCCTTTACATCCATCATCATCATCCCCGTTTAGAGGCTTGTGCTTGTGACTTCTCTCTACGATGAATGTCTCTTATCAGGCGGAATGCAATGAAAACTGCAATGAATGCAGATGCCATGGACTGATAGTACAGGCCGCCAACTCGGGACTACGTATCATTATAATGGCGTCAGTAGCAGTCCGGACACGAGCCAGCGAGACAGAGACTCTCAAATCCACGGAACGATGCAGAGCCAAACCAATTTGAAATGGGGTATAGCAGCCGCTGGTAGGATCACCCAGGACTTTGTCACGGCTCTAAACACCATCGAAAAGTCGCAGCATGTGGTTGTGGCTATTGCCGATGTGGATGGCCCGAGGGCACAGGAGTTTGCCCAAAGAAATCAGATCCCTCGTCACTATGACGGTTTCGATGCCTTGGCTTTGGATCGAGAGGTGGATGTGGTGTATGTGGGGACGCTAAATCCCTTCCACTATGCTGTCGTTCATCTGCTGTTATCCAGGGGAAAGCATGTGCTCTGCGAGACACCTATGTGTCTGGGTTTGGAACAGGCCAAGGAGCTGTGTGTCTTGGCAGAGCAGCGTGGGGTTTTCCTGATGGAAGGTAAGACTTGGGAGCGAGAGATTTAAGTAATACTCAAATGGAGCCTCTTTCTTCTATTCAGGCATGTGGTCGCGCTTCTTTCCCAGCTATGATCGTCTCAGGGAACTATTACAGAGCGATGCCATTGGGGAGGTAACCCTCGTGAAGGTCCAGCATGGCTTCCGCTTGGCACATGTAGAACGTGTCTCCAATCGAGATCTGGGTGGCTCCATTATCCTGGATCTGGGGATCTATGCCTTGCAGTTGGCACAATTAGTGTTTGGCAGCTCTCCCGTAAAGATCCTCCCGAATGGCACGCTACTGAACAAAGATCGCGTGGATGTTCAAACCGAGTTTATACTGGACTATGGCGAAGGTCGGCGCATGGTGGCTTTGGTCACTGGCCTAGAGAATCTGGAGAACGATGCCATCATTGTGGGCACGAAAGGCGAGATTAAGGTGAGCTCTTATCTCTCTTTGTTGCACCATTTGACCTGCAGATCAATGGAATTATCAGTGGCGTTCACAACATTGAATACTTTTTCTTTCGACAGCTCTCCAACTATTGGTGCTGCACACAGATGACACGCTCCAATGGTCCGCCCGAAAGCTGGCCCTTGCCCAGGGCTAAATTTGATTTTCATTATACCAACACCTGTGGCCTGCGGTACGAGGCGGAGGAGGTGCGTCGCTGTATCGAGAAGCGTCTGCTGGAGAGTCCAAAGTTTCCACATGCCGCCAGTCTGGAGATTATAGCCATTAGCGATGAGATGAGGCGACAAATAGGTGTTACTTTTGATGAAATCTAGGTACAAGAATATAGGGATATAGGGATAAGTATTTGTAATCGATTTTACTTCAGAAAAAATTATACTTTGAATTTCACAGATATATGAATGATTTTTATAGAGTCTCTCAAAGGTTAGACTACTGAAATCTATTAAAAGTCTTTTCGAAATCTTCTACATTTGGTGCAAGTGGAATTTAGAAGAAAGATAATTATTCATTTTCGTCTTTAAACTCATTATTCTAGCATTTATAAGGAAAGAAATTTGATGATGATGTGCGTTTTTGTCCATTCTTTCAGTTTCTTTTAACTTGGCAGATCTGTTGACATTAGGGACATTGCTTTATGGTATTATGGGTGGAAAGAGAGAGATACATCGCGCATCAGATATTCGATACAAGCATATAGGTTTACGATCCCATTCGATGAATGTGTTTATTTGAGCTTGCCCAATGCAATATTTACAATGCAGCGACACCCATCTTTGGGCCATGCCACATACACGGCGTATGTGTAATGCGGAATGTGGCATCTGGCAGGAGCATGTAGGATGGAGGATGGAGATGATGTGCCTTAGCGTGCTCGTCTTCTTGGAGTGCAAGAATAAAAATTAGGATATAACTAGGTTGATGTTGTGTTTCTTATCCTTCTCTCTGTTTTTCTCCATCTATCATGACAAATGCGAGCGATATAAAGAGAGATCGTGGAGGTTAAAATCCGCCACGAAGACTACATTCACATGGACTACATTTTTGTTTAGGATGTTGAGATTTACCTTTATTTATGATGGCGATGGCCTCGAGGAGAGTTGTTAGATCCTTTGCATTCTCTGATTGCGTCCGTATGACCGACAGACCTTTCTTCTTTTTCCAAGTGTAAATGCAGTGGTTTTAGGAGCTGAAAGAAGACAAATATTTTTACTTTTAAACAAATATTTTGTGGAAATAAAATTGGGAATAATTTTCTTAATTGTATGTAGTACAAAACCTTTATCACTTCACAAATCCAGTAACAGTTCATTGAAATCTTGTTCTATATTTGTATTCAATATTTATTTAAATAATTTGCAATGCTTTTTCCTTGCTTTGTTTTTTTATTATATTTTCTCTTTCATTTTGCATCGGTATCTTATTTTCATCTTTCTTTCAGCTTTCTCTTTGCAATCAATATACTATATAGAGCATATACAATATTTATAAATCAATGTCTAATGGTTATTGTTGCTGCCATTTCTTGTTAGGAATTAAATATTTAATTAAAGGTCGGAAATTAGTTGAGCTTAAAGACTAAATGAATACTTAAACGCAGCTTAAACCCAGAGGATAAATAGAAAGTTCATTAATTAGTTTGGTTTTTTGTAACTAAATGCAAGAATACAAAAAAAAAAAAAATAATAATAGTAATGAAGATATTAATGTTACTTTCAGATCTTAAATCAGATTTAGACACACAATTATATTTTGGAAATTCGTTGGAACTAACAATAAATAAGGAATTTCAAACATTCTTTCCTTAGTATATTCTTAACACAATAATTAATTTAGAAACAATGTCTTAAGGGGCTAGAAAACATTATACATCATATAATTTGTGAAAAACGCGTTGGAAACGAAAAACTTAAGCAACAAAGTGTTTAAATTACATTTTTCGCACTTACGAGATTATCTAGAACTTTTTTTTCTTAACAATAAAAAAATGATTTTTACAAGGGTGTGTGTGTGTGGAAGGCTTGCCACTGCCACTGCCATTGCCGTCACCGTCATCGTCGCCTTAAACGTAATGAAGTCTTTTGCTGTGTAAAATTGCTATAAAAACTATTCCCAGCTCTCTCTCTCTCTCTCTCTCTGTCGGTTGTTCCCATACGTTTATTTTATGCGGTTTCGGTCAGGGATTGCACATCCAGCGGCTGACGGGGTTGTGGAGCAGGTGGTGGCAGTGGATTGACGGCTGCTATCGTTGGCATTTTACTCTCCACCACCGCCACAATGGGCGTGGGATTGACGAGGGGCGGTGGCAGCGCCTCAAAGGTCATGCAGCTACGCTGCGAATCCTCAACAATGGGCGGCGTGTCAATGGAGTCGATCGTAGACGAAGTAGAGCTGGTTATTACACCGCTATAGCCCTCAGAGACGGCCACCAACGCGGCGGTGGTATTACGATTGTGCTGCAGCAGATCATTGATCTGGGAGAGGCGCGAGGAACTGGCTAGCGGTGCATTCAGGCTGATGAAGTCATTGGTCGTGGCGGAGGCGGTGGAGGAGGAGGTGGTGGTTCCACTGAGGCGGTTGCAACTGCTGCCACTAATCGACGAGGCAGCAGTCATGGAGGCGGCGGTGGTTTGGTATTGGGCATTGCTCGAGGCTGTCGTTGTGGCATTCCCAAATGGTGGCGCGGAGGGCACCGAACAAGAGCTAAAGCCGCCACTGGGTGCCACGGCAACGGGTGATGCTGAGAGCGGCTGATAGGCGGACTGGTAGGAAGTGAGCTGCAAAAAGAATTGCAAATTCAAATCAAGGGATATCCTTTGGTCTGACTGTTTTGTCACTTACCTGGGCACTGCCATAGCTCAGCGATTGATAGAGCTCCCCGTAGGAGGGTGTGGCGTTGCTACCGCTGGCAAAGAGACCCGAATCCAGACTATCCAACTGGGCATAGGCCGTCGCATAGCTGCTCTGTGGCTGCTGGGGATTGGTCGGTATAGGAGGAGGCACCACCACGGCTTGCTGTTGCTGCTGGTAATAGCTGACACTGCTCTCGGGCGTGTACGCGGGGGAGGCATAACCCGAGCTATAGTTCGACTGCGTTTGCATGAAGTAACAATGGGAGGCCGCGGCCGTGGGGGATGCCACAGCACCACTGGGGACCCCTGTCCCTACGGAAGAGTACGTCAGGGAGCTGCTCTGCGGCGGCTGTTGCTGAATGTGCCCCTGGGCGCCCTGACGCTGCTCCAGATCCAGCCGCATTACCGTGTGGATATAGTGGGTGCGCACACGCGTCGGATTGAACTCCACGCGGCCGACGGTGTTGCCGCAGGCCTCTCGCGAACAACCGCAGGGGAACATGGAGCGATCCACCTGGCATTTGATGCCCGCCTGGCTGCAGGCGCAGGTCTCCGGGTCGCAAAATTCGCGGCACGAACAGCCGCACACTTCGCGCGAGTTTCGGATATCCCGGCATTCGATCTTTTCGCTTGCATCGATCTTCCGCACGCCCGCCGCCTTGAGCAGGGCTCGCCGCTGCTTGGGCGACATCGTGGTCAGGAAACCATTGGAGCCATCGTCCGCATCCGAGCCACTGCCCTCGCTGAGGAAATCCTCTTCCGATTCCTCAGTGTCTTCGCTGCTGGAGCCTCGAGGCTGCACATCCTGGTTCTGGCTGCGATGGGCACGCCTCAACTCGGCCGCATGCTCCGCCAGGGTCATCGTTTTGAAGGCAATGTGGCGCGCTCCCATCCCGAGGGTACAACCGCCGAGGGTGGGCACACAGCTGAACCCCTGCTGTCGAGGGAAGTAATAGATCTTGACGTTGTCAAAATTTATGCTGCGCTTTGGACGTTTCTGTGCGGCGACGGTGCTAGCTGCCGACAGTGCAGTACCGGACATATCAGGCACCAGATCGATGGCATCGCTTTCGTTATCCTCCAGACGACGCTTCAGATTCGAACGCTTGGGCTCTGGCACCACTGGCTGCTCCTTGAGCGTGATTCTGGTCGTTTCGCTGCCCAAACCAGAGTCGGAGCCACCGTCCCGCATCTCATCTTCTTTGGTCTTGGCCCGCTGCTGCTTCGCCTGGGGCACGGGGCAGCTGCTGACGTTGCTGCCACCAGCACCACCACCACTGAGGGGTTCCGACTCTGTGTTGAGCTTGAGCCAAAGCAGATCACCGCTGGTGTCCACCTCCTCGTTGGTGGTCACCGAAGACGAGTCCAGAATATTGTCTATGGCCAGGGGATCCTCGGAAATATTGTCCGATGCAAGGGAAGAGTTGAGGAGATCTGAGTCACTCAGGACGATAATTTCGTTGTTGGGAAAATTATCAAGTTCCAGGAACTGCTCGTCGAGTTCGCCATCGTTCGGCGTCCCCGGTTCGTTGGCAAAGTCCGCCAGCTCGTCATCCATCTGGAGATTGGGCGGAAGGGAGAGCGGTGGAAGCGGGAGTTGCAGGGGCAGCCTTATACCAGCCATGGCCTTGGCCTTGGCAGCATGCACTTTAGTGGCATCGATTATGGATGTCTTGATTTGACGTTCAATGTCATCCTCCATGATGTACTCTTCCTCCTCATCCTCTTCCTCCAGCAAGAGCCCACTGTCTTGTCCCTCCTCCTCATACTCGATGCGTCGCCTCGTCGCCTCATGGGTATTCAATGGTGCCACTGCTGCTGCTGCTACTCCCGGTGCTGTGGATGTGGGTGTGGGTATGGGTGTTGTCGTTGGGCTGAACATGTTGGAGCTGCTGGCATTTTTTTGTATGTACGTGAAAATCTTCTTAAACATGCTCCTCGTGTGTCAGCCGCCAAACGGGTGGGGTGGAGACCTAAAAATCTGGGTTTTACTGCCGCAGGGCCCGCAACATCTGTAGCAAAAAATGTGTGGAATTAGCGAAAATAAATCAAAAAAAACTTTCCTATAGTTTATATAATATAAAGCAGGAGGGGAGGCAGAAAGATATACACCCTCCGATCGGGTGTGTATATATAAACGTTATTTGAGACGACTTCCTGCGACCACCGGTGGGCCACCGCCCTGAACCCATTAGGCAGGAGGGGACGAGACCGATCCGATCGCTGGCTTAGAACCTTTTTACTTGGAACTTGTGTCTTTTTTTTTTTGCTGCTCGTTATTTCAACAATTTGAGAAAGCAAATTTCCACTCGAACCAAAACTTAAAATCAATAATGTTTAGGTACAGCGTGTGGGCGGAGAGAGGGCGGGTTCGGGAAGGACTTACCTTTGCGAGCAGTACGCTGAGATTTTTATTTACGTGAAGGATTCGGTGGATTGTGGGTTTTTTGTGGCTCCTTTCTGGAATTTGCGTTGCAGCTGCGATGAAAAGTGCGACGATGCGAGAGACAGAGAGAGATGACGAAAGGCGCAACTGTGTGTGTGTGTGTGTGTGTGTGTGCGTGGAAGGAGGCGCTTCAGCGATTGGCAATCGATGGGCTGTGTCTGAGTGCGATCTCAGTTATTTTACAAGACAAGGCTGTAATTTTGTTTTCTAAAAACTATACAATTTTTACGCCGTTACTTTATTTTTTTCACTTTTTTGCTTTTTGCGAGCAGAACCTCTTGCAGTGTGACCGCAGACTTATAATACCCTCTGAACATCGTAAATATACCGTCCCATTTTCAAATTATACCGTAAATATACCGATGAAAAAACAAACTTATCCCTTTATTTAAACAGGATAACAGCTTGAGTTAAACGTCCATCCTTCCCTTTATCTATGCATAGAAAGGATCACGATATCTTTCTCCTAAACTGTGCTAAAGTTCTTCGAAATGCATAATTTTCTTGGAGAGTATTTTAATACCTACTTGTCGACATCGTTCTCTGTCCATGATCGGAAATCATATTCCTCGATTTTGATATTCGGTTTGGGATTGCTAGCTAGATAGGACCCTCAGCACTAAATACATAATTTTATCCCATCTATAGATCAATTTTCTAATAGATATGCTAATTTTGGTAACTCCTTTTTATTGCAGTTTTTCTAAAAACTGTTTAAGCTAATAAAGTCAAAGTGGAAAGACGTACGTGTGTATGAAATGTTACGTCATGGTTGCTGGTCAACAGGTATTCACTATGAGTGTGGTTATATTTATACCCTATTTCATTTAATTGATATTCAAAATATGGTTTCCAAGCTGATTTGAAACGAAATCAGTAATGATCTTTTCTCACATTGAATTGTTTTTTACGTATTCATACATTTGCATTTGCTTGTATTCCGTATGAACATCTCGATTCCGATACCTATTCTCAGGCTCTGTGGGAAACCCATAAACTTTAAACTGTCTAGTTTCTGTATTCGTAAGAGTCTAAGATGACAAACATTTCCTCAATTCTATAATATCCTCTTTTCGAGGGTATTCAGAGAGAGCGAAAAAGAGAGCAAAACGCGCTATAACCCGTTTCGGAGAAAGCAGTTCAGTTACCGATTCTATCGACTGGATACGAGTACTTCGCGCCAAAGAGAAATTGTTTGAAAGTGAATGAGTGGCAAGGATATAAATGCATTCCAGTGGGTTAAATTATGTAGGGAGCACGGCTTGAGAGCGGAAATTAAACAACCCGCGTGTGGAGGTAACGTAAGTATACTTTCAACTCAATTTCCACATCAAAATCGAAATGCTCTTGCAGTTTTTCTCGTTTTCCCTTGTTATTGGTGCGAATCTATCGTGGCTAGTGATAGCTGGGTGACGGTGTCAGCTTGTTTATAGCCAGTTCTGGTAATTTTTAAAGTTCGATTTCTGGAAAATTTTGAAAATTTGTATTAGCTAGAAAATGGATATTTAACCTATATAATTAGCTATATTTTGCTATTTACTCTCTGTCATACGATACGTTGCAAACTTTTGGGCTAAATTAAGGACTTGGATGAAAAATTCATCCATGCTGCAGGGTGCAGCATATATGTTGACCATTTGAGGTATATTATACTTTTCGTATATTTTTACCTCTCTTTGTAAATGATGATGGATTGGGTGGACCTAAATTACTATTATTATTTGTACGACTTAACTCAAGTTGTTTTCCAGGTAAAATAAAAGGGGTTTAAGTGGGCTAAGTTCGGTATATTTACGGAATACTTGGAAAATAAGACGGTATATTTCTGAGGGCCAGACGGTATATTCTATTATTTTATCGATAAGTCCATTTTCGTGGATAAAAAGAATTGTAAGTTTTAACAATAACCTGGGCAAACTAATTGCAAAAACAGTGATAAACGCAATAAAAAACACAAGCTGCACCTGGGATAGACATAAAGTGCAAGTAACGATGACGTCTCCTGCGAAAATGATAAAAACAAGACTCGGACACTGGGAACTCAAAAGTCAATCGCTTCCCGTCTCTGTCTGCGTGCGTTTGTTGGTGACTGGGTGGGGAGAGTGTTTCAATAATCTGTCTAAAAACAAAGTGCCCTGCTGGAAAAGGCAGGAATAAACGTGCATAAATCGATTCTCGCAATAGCAATGTGTGTGACAATATGAGAATCAAGTGTTGTAGCCCAATATTGCGTTGTTGTTTCCCCATTAATTAAGAAAGTTGTGTAAAATTTTTTCCACCATTATTATCGTCATCGATAGCCGAGCAGAGGATAGAAAGCAATGAGAGCGAGTGAGATAGACGGCCATGAATTTTTGGGTGCGTTTTATTCGAGCGTGTGTGGCGAAGCGAGATGGCACTATGCACTGCTGCTGCTCCAACTGCAGCGTGCACAGTGGTTGACAATAGCGCAATAAATCAGTTTCCCATTTTCGCGACTATAAAGCCAGTGCAACACAGGTGTAGGAGAGGCAGCTGATCCGGGGTCTCATTATCTGTCGAATAATATGTACTCTTTCCCGCTCCAGGCAATGGAAATTGCTTGTTCTTTGTTCTACTTGGTTTTGCGTCTTAATTACAGTGTGTGTGTGTTTGTGTGTATTTATCTGCAATCCGTTTCTTATCGTGCCAGTCACTGCACGACCCCTCTCTTCCTCCTCCGTACTCCGTGAGGCTGGTTTACTTTTTCCACAAAATATTTCCCTTGGAGCCGAAATGTAAACAAAATCGCATAATTTTTTCTCAATTTCCATTTTGTTTATATTTGTGTGTTATTTTGCTAAATTTGCATTTGTGTAATTGAGAACGCTGTCGAGGGGACAAAGGGAGAATTGATTTATCGTACACTACAGTGCATCCATACGTACATATGTTGGCTGCTAATTGTATTCCTATTCTTCTTTTTATGGACGTCCGTTATGCGTGCTGAGAAAATTGCACTTGTTGACTTTAAAGTGAGACAATCTTACAGTCGAGGGCACACAACTAGGTCTTCGATATAAATATTTTTCCAGAATTTTTCCACTGCAATAGTTTAGTTTGATGTGCTGACTTACAATTCTGTTATTTGATCGTTTCATTGGTTCTCATATATACATATCTCTGACCATTTATGAAAGCAAGTCAATCAACTAAATGATTCATATTGCCTGAGGTACTATATTCGAATAGGACTTTTTTTTCTGCAGTAAAACTCTCGGTTCTGATCCTAATTCATTGACCATTGCTGTGTCGTAAGTGCGTGTTTATGTCTCTCTTCTCTACTCTTTACCGCTTGTTCTTTCTCTCTTCTGTGTCCGAGTCCCATGTGGATGATTGTGTGGGTACGGTACTTGTGTGAATGACGCATCGTCAGCTGTTTCAAGACCAAAGCAGCGCCAGCGGCAGCAGTGTGGGTACCGTAATTTCCTGAAACCAAGCTGGAACGTTGTTTTATATTTTATTGAATTTTCCGCGGACGGGTCGAAGGCCAAGAGGCCGGCGTTAAGTTTTAAAGTACTGTACATATTTAATATTTGCTAGCAATTTCCGTATGTGGGTGAGTTGTTTTACCGCGTTGCCAGCTGCTGCGTTTTTGCCCCTGAACTCTACGATATGGCAGTTTTGGATATTCGCTTTGAATTGTTATCAATAATTTAAGTTAAGGCTCTTGAATTGTTTCGAAAAGTGTCTTTCTTGTGTGCTACCTGGAATATAATAAAATTGCGATAAAATGCAAAATACGTCATACAAACAAAAAAAAAAAAGCAATTGCAAGCAACATTTATCTCAATTGAGCGAGTGACAGAGTGAGAGCTGACTGGACAAAAGCGCAAATCGGCCGCTTACCAAGTGCTAGAGTGAGAGAGAGTGAGAGTGTGGCTTGACAACTTACTGTGCACTTTGCTCCGTAAGTCTCTCTACAAAAACAATGGAAGCGAAAGAAGAATATAAAACAGTAGTAAAACTTGCTTTACTGTTTTTTCAATGCTGGGAGAGAGAGGCCTGTTATCTCTCTCTTCCCTTTGGTTAATTTAATAATGCTCAGCAACAAATGTGCCATGCTTTTACTTTCTCTCTACTCGCTTCTGCTGCTGCTTCTCGCGCTTCTTTCTGCCCCTCCCACCCGCCGACTGTTTAATTTATTTTGCATTGATTTTTATCAGAGAATCTTGACAGCATCCGCCAGCGCAACGCAACGCCCCCACTTTGTGCTGCTTCCCTTTAATTCCCCACGCTCCATTCATTCACACTCTTCTCTTGTCACTCTCCGCCCTGTGCTCACTGTACTCTCTGTTCCACTCTCTCCCACTTACAATCTCCGCTATGCGCTCGATTTCTCTACCAACAATAATCCCGCATGATTTGTATACTCTTTTGACCGAAGGTATGGCAAATGTTTGCAACGAAGAGAGATATATAAATTCTGGGTGATTTAGTGAGTTTTTGATGGGATACAGCTACAGAGACGATAGATCTGTAAGGGTATCAAACACTCGACTGTCGGTGTTGGATTTTTGATTTCCTTGTTTTCTCTACAACGATCCCGCATGATTTTTGTAGAGTCCGATCCCTTGGCTATGTCCATTATGTACATTTTAGCATTAAGATGCTAATTAATTTGTGGAGATTTCAGTTGAGTAAAAGCCTTACTCGTACTTGAGAGGAAATTTTTGGTTTTAGATTCGATAACAGACGGCAAATGTCGAATATGATTCATAAAAGTGCCACTGATAACAGATAGTGAGGGTCGACACCCGTGAATAATACGAGGCGTCCCCTTTTATACTTTATATATGTATTGTTATTCATGTCTGTTGTGTTACGTACCGCCCTCGAAATAAATTATCAGAAAAATACACACTTATGTACTACGATTATTATCAACTAAAGTAGCTAAAATTTTGGTAACAGATAGATAACAGAGCCTAGACCTAGAACGATAGAAATTCATTTTTAGTTTTGTTTGAAGACAAAACCGAACAAGAAAGAAGAAAAAGCAATAATTGCGCTTAAACAAAATTTGTAAGGCTTCCGTACCACACACCCCGCCATTACCATGTGTTTGAAGTATTTTTAGTTGTTGCTAATTGTTTGTTTATCCATTTTTGTCGTTTCGTCTCGTTTCGTTTCGGTTTTGTTGCCATTATTTAAAAACATTCTTGACATTGAAATTTTTCTCTTAAGTCGTATCTTTATTCGCTTTTGGGATTTCTAGATGATCTCATCTCGGGGCTATCATATGACATGATAAGGGCATGATATATACAGAGATGGAATCGCAAGAAATAAAAATGAAATTATTATATTAGTTTGGTTAATTTTAAGAGAATTTATTAGTCAAATCATGTCACTAGATGCTTAAGTGAGTGCCATACAAGGGCTTAATGATGATAATTGAATTCAATTTGTGCTTTCAATGCAACCTTAAGGGCGTTTCGCTTTCTATTTCAATCAGATTTATTGATTGCTATGCGCGCTCTCTCTTTCTCTACGTTCTCTCTCTCTCCCTGATGATGCATATGGTCGGGGACATACATACATATGTACATACAGATGTATGTACATATCGAATTAAATTGGTGTTTAGTCTTGTCCGTCATTAAGTAAACGAAAGGCGCCACTCTGCCTCCGTGACGTTTCATATTTCCACAACACAACAGAATAATCCATAATGTGCCTCTGCTCTTTTCAGATAATATACACCCCATAGCAACATACACACTCTGAGAGGGAGTACACCGCACCATACCACACCACAAAATACAGTGACCGTCCGATAAAACCGATACACCCCGCATCATCAGTTTTGCATTGCATCAAAAAAGCAGAAAAAAGAAAGAAAAGAGCCCGACGAGCGACACGGATTGATCATGGCCACAACACCACGCAGCGGCGGTGCCGGCTCTGGAACGGCACAGCGACCGAATGGAACCTCTCAGAACAAAAGTTGCCAATTCAAGCTGGTGCTCCTGGGCGAATCGGCTGTCGGCAAATCGTCGCTTGTGCTGCGCTTCGTCAAGGGACAATTCCATGAATATCAGGAGAGCACGATAGGTGCGGCCTTTCTAACACAAACCATTTGCATAGAGGATACTGTGGTGAAGTTTGAAATTTGGGATACAGCCGGCCAGGAGCGGTAACTATAAATCGGATATACAATATATATTCATTCGTATTAAATCCTAATGCTTCTTTCGGTTTTCGTTTCGTTTTGCAGATACCACAGCTTAGCTCCCATGTATTATAGAGGTGCGCAGGCCGCCATTGTTGTCTATGATATACAGAATCAGGATAGTTTTCAGCGTGCAAAGACCTGGGTCAAGGAACTGCATAAACAAGTGAGTGTACCTTCGAGGCAAGGTCAATGCAATCGCATGCAGAAGAATGTTTTATTCATGGACATACATACATTTACGAATGTTATTGCCATTTATGATTGTTAATTCTCTTTGTTGTTGCCAATTGCGGCCCCCAGATGAAAGGGCATTGAACTTATTTCGTGGCATCCGGGCATTCATTCACGCCTCATTGCTTTCATACACTTGACTGGGGTTTCGATTTGATTTGATTTTTTCCAGAAGGTAGATTTAGATAAACCTTGGACTATAATCGATTCAAGAAACTATATTTTCATGGGTATTTATGGCCCTATTTTGATTGTTGTAGTTCTAATAGTTTCCAAGAACTACTAGGCAGAAGGTTAGACAAATTTAGATGGTTAAACCCACTATGCTGTTGAGCCTTATCCAGAATATATAATTTATCAGTTGTCAAATTCTTCTTTCATGTCGTTTGAATTCCAATGTGGAGAGTTTAGGGTCTCCTAGATATAGTTGGTTGGATAAAAGTCCGACAAAATCATAGATCTTAAGTATGATGATCTTCCTTCTGCTTGAACTCAACGAGAACTGTGGAAAAAGGTATAATTTACTATAAATTAGTAGAGACAGGCATTTGATCGTATTAATATTGATCAATGATCATATATTAATATGTACGAAATACGGATTTATCTAACGAAATATATAGTTCTTATGCTACCAATCGATCTTATACCTCTGCAATCTACAAGAACCACATATATGTTAAACAATGATAATCACACAAAGGGTTTCCTTTACATTACTGAATATAGGATTGATTCAACACGTAATTTTTGAAGAAATTCCTATTAAATACTTACGTTTTCCCATTGTTTTTGTCAGGCCTCACCAAACATTGTCATTGCGCTGGCCGGCAATAAGGCGGATCTGTCAAACATTCGCGTCGTGGAGTTTGATGAAGCGAAGCAATATGCCGAGGAGAATGGTTTGCTGTTCATGGAGACGTCTGCGAAGACGGGCATGAATGTCAACGATATCTTTTTGGCCATTGGTAAGCCATTAAATCTATTAAATAATCTATAGGGTAAATTAATTCAATTAAAATATTTATAGCCAAGAAACTACCTAAGAACGATGGCGCCAACAATCAGGGAGGCAGCATAAGGCCGAATGGGAATGAAACAAATCGACCGACGAACAACTGCTGCAAGTGATGTCCCTTTGTAGGTGAGAGTCTTACGATTGAATATGTACAATAGTTCGATTAGCAGGATATATTGTGGATTTGTTGGAATCACAGTTTTGATAATTCAACTAATTATTTTTTTCATTCTTTCTTTCAGAAAATGAAATTTCCAACGAGAGATTTGAAAAGTTTATGCTGATAATTATAAATAAAAAAATTATTTAAAAATTTAACAAAAAAAAGAAAACCGAAAAGAAAAAAAACACATACCTAAAAAAATTGGCTCTCATAGGGGCAAGAAATTAAATTTTCATAATTGATTGGTGATGAGATGAGAACCGAAAGAAACATTCTAATAAAACAAAACCATACAATATTAATTTTAAATTAAATATAAAACAGAAAACAAAAAAGGGAGAAGCCCCCAAGCTCCACCTCGCTACCCATTCATTTATAAACGAAGCGAGAGCGATTTCCATATCTGACACGTCTAGAGAGCCCCACAACAGATCCCCCAGAAAATGTGCTAATCAGAATTCCACACACACCCACAGACACCATAAACCATTTCAAATAATAATAATTATAATAAAAAAATACAAAACGAAATTCAATTCGGTGGAAGAGAGGAGAAGGCGCGGAAAGGTTATTTTGCATAGTTCGCATCGTGTCGTAGAAAAGTTTGAAATTGTATTGTATAAAAAAGAAAAGAAAACAGCAAAGAATATTTGTAAAATTTACATTTTCGTGTAAGTTTCTAAAGCAAAAAAGAAATTCCAGTTGCAGTTGTTCTCAGCAGCGTTCCAAAAAATAAGAGAAAAAATGTTCAGATCCAAGCGGCCGATGAAGAAGATCCTCGCGCGCGTCCGCACGGATCTGCGGCAATGTGTGTGTCTGTCTGGCTCTGGAGTGCGGAGAATCGCCTACCCCCCGCCTCCAAGCTGCGACGGACACGTGTGATAGTTGCAATTTATATAAATTATATATACACATATGAGAAAAAAACAAAAAACGAAACCAACAAAAACAAATTATTTCATAATTTTTAACTTTTTTTTAATGTTTCTTTTTGCATTGAGTTTATATTTTTTTCCACATTCTAGCAACAATCGAAGATTTAATGCTATTATCTTTAAACAAACAAACAAAACTATCGTAAAACCATAAAGAATAAAATAAAAAACTTACATCTAGTATGCAATTAAGCGAAGGATGGAAAACGGATGAAACGAGTAAAGTGAAGTCTTTAAAATAAACCTTGAAATACTTTACCTAAATAAAAACAAAAAAAAAAAACGAACCACACTCAATATACCACAACAAATTCTTGTTTGAATCGTGCCACACCCAATCAACAATCTATTAATTTTCCAACCGCAATTATTTATATTGTAATTTGCAATCACAAAGCAATCGAATCGAGATATCCAACAGAACAGCCCAGAACAGCTCCCACTCGTACTTGTTTCCAATTTATTATTTCTATGTTGTCTGTATGTATTTAAATTTAACATTTATAATAAAACGAATGCATCGTATATACTTATATATATATATATATACATCTATATATGTATATTAAGTCATTCGATTTGAATCGAGAATGAAACGACATGGCACGAGTGCAATTAATCGTTTGTGGTTTTCTCTCATCGAAAGCTTTTCTTAGAACTCGGATGATACTTTCGCTTTTTATAGAATTTTTGATATGGTTTTAATTGGAAGTGTGTGGGGGATACTTTGAAGAGAGAGTAATGGTTAGTTAGGATGTGGGAAATAGCATTAGATACAGATACTCTTTATATTTTCTTATTGTTCGCTTCAAGGAGACTGTAAAAAGCTGTGTACTTTCGATGGCCTTATCCGGCATATTGATCCACGCACTCGAGACGCACAAGCAAATGCTGCAAAAGGGAATTTCTGTGAATGACACAATACAATTGTGCTCGATTCGATACGCATAAGTGAATGCTGCAAAGCGAGCTCCAGAGAAAAAAATTGACTATATGTGGCAAAACCACATACATTGCAAATTCAAACAATCTGCTCATCACTGCTTTGGATTAGTTAAGTTAATAATAATTATGATTCAAACTGTTGGGAAAATTGGAATTTCGGATGATAGTTTGGACAATTTTAGTTACTAATAGAGAGATATATTATTATTTAAACCTTCCACCAAAGAGTGCTTTGGTATGGTTCCCAAAGGGCATTCGATTAATCACATAAAGAAGTGATTCACAGCCGCAAACTTCTGCCAGTGAGAAATCGAAGACCTTGCTGGAGGTTTTTCTGTGTCGCTACAATTAGAGCAGAACTGAACCTCCCTGAGCGTAGACACAGCACAATGTTGCCGACAGACTACGAAGTTGTCATCTTGGGAGACTCGAATGTGGGCAAGACAGCTCTGATCTCGCGATACATAAAGGACGAAACGCCAGAGCGCGGACAGCCCACGGTGGGTGCTGAGTTTCTGGTAAAGACAATATGTGAGCCCCATCTAAATACGAAGCTAAAGATCTGGGATACGGCAGGTCAAAAGTGGTGAGTGGGCTTCAAACTTCACATCTGGCTAAAGTTCTACAGATTGGTAAAGTTTTAAGGAAATTTTGCGAAGATATTATACAGACTTTCAAGGCGCTTTACTTGTATACGACATACACAATCGTCTGAGCTATGAGTCCGCGAAAAACTGGGCCGTCGAACTCAAAACAAAGGTAAGATATGACCCTTAACTGATATGTATTTTAGGATAAGAATAATTTCTTGATAATGAGAAATTTCAGCGCTGTACACCCAGGATAGTCATAGCTTTAGTGGGCCATAAGGCTGATATTACGGATGGTCGAGCTGTAGGCACCATTGAGGCTGAGGAATATGCCAAAGAAAATAGTTTATTCTTTTGGGAGACTTCATCTGTAACAAATCTGAACATAAGGGAATGTTTTCTAGACGTGGGTTAGTTTTTATCGCTACACATCATTTGTGCTTATATATTTTAATCTTCTTTGATGCCTCTTATGGACTAATACCAGTTTTAGCTATGAAAAAAGCTGAAATCTGTTGTTGTTTCGAAGGGATAAACCGATCTTCCTGGTATTTATAGGAGAACATTGTGGAAGAAGAAGCTGATCAAAGAATCTATGATCAGGGATTGTCATAAGGAACATCATTATTGTAAGCACATGTTTTTGGATATTACTTGGAGTCGATACTCCATAAACGCCTGCCAATAAATAATGTTCTCAAATCATTTTTGGTTTATTAATATTTTTTCTAATTTCCGTTTTTCGTTTTTTATTATCTTTTTATTTAAAATTATAACTGATTAAGTTGTCTCTCGAAATAAATACATACTTAATGTACTGCGATTTTTTTTGTTGGTTACAATTTACCAATTGATTTTTTCATGTATTGTATATCGTATTGTATATATATATAAGTTGGTTTTTGGTTTCTTGCTACTTGGTTTTTTCCATTTATAAGAATAATTATATTGTATGATTTTCATAACTATAGATTTTCCCGTATATGCTTCATTTCATTTTTTGAGTTAGTTCATCAAGAGAAATCATAGTTTATAGAGACAGACAGAGATTATACGCTAACTTACTACAAGGCAACTAAATGGCTTCAATCGGGAGAGCTTTATGCTATATAACGTATACAGATAACAGGGGAAACAATACAATATTATACGATCCTAACTAAAATTGCATCTCAAAGTAGAACAAATAAAAAATGGCAGAAACGTAGGGCAGTTTCGAGTATCGAATCAAAGAAGAACACATAATCTGGATAGTCTATCATATATAGTAGAGTTATTGTAACAATCAACAGAAAAACAAATATACATTCTCATAATTCAAGAATCTTCTGGTTTTTAGAGGGGGGCTGTTATCCATTATTCCACTTGAAATATCACTTACGTAAGAGAAGTTTTATATCTGTATCTGGTAATCGGTATTTTCTAGATTTAGTTTTTAGATCCTAAACTATATAATTTTGTCTCAAGAGTTTAGTGTCTTTTTTTTTTCTTTTATTCAATTAATTTTGAATGTCCCCAATTTTTTTAAGTCTAAGCTTTTTGTCTTTTTTTCAGTTTTTTTCAGTTTTTATTTCTATAAAATTTACAAAATTACGTTCCATTTTTCTTGTCTTTATATCAATCGATCTTTAATCGATAGCTTTTGCCCCAAAAACTGTGTATATTGATGCCCGGGGAATCGCTGTCGCTCTCGATTCTCCCCATTTTCTCTATATTCTCGTCTTAACACTTAGCTTACAAGTAGTTCTCTCTTCTTCATCATCATCTCTCTCTCGTCTTTTCTTCGGTTTTGCTCATTCTCCCGTACTTTGGAATCATGAAAATTCACAATAATCGCGTTATTCTTTTTTTTTTGATTACTTTTTACTCGTTTCTTATTTGTTTTTTATACAACAATCGGCTCATCACCGTGGAGATCACAAGAGCCAATATTCTCGCCCTGGTACGCCGAGAAATCGCTGATAATGGCCTTTGGTTCGGCCCCGAACTGTATGTCCTGCAGGCAGCCCTTAAAGGGCTCAAAGTAGCGCCCCTGGGTGCGCTTAGTCACCGAATCCAGATTGGGAAAGCCGCCTGTAAAGGAAATTGGTGGTACATTTAGTATGGGTTTGAATTTGAAACGGTTACAGTGCTGCTTAACGCCTTAATAGCTTTTTAGTTGCGCTTAACAGCACGCTGTTATGTCTTACAGCCACCTGTTGCGATTAACGGCTGTGTTTTTTGGCAGGAATTTCGTGTACACTTTCTTGATTGTCTGTGTTTATGTTTATTAATTACATGAATTAGCTAAACTCCACACTTATTTCGTACTAAATTTACTTTCTAGCAGAAACAGCTGTTTCTGTGACTTAAGTTGGCAGCCCCGCTTGAGTTTGCTCTTTCTCTTTCACACTCGACAACAACAGTCACGCTCAAAAATCCAACACAACAAGTGTTTCGTCGGTCTTTAAGCGTTTGTTTATGTTTTTTCGGTGTGAAAAAAGTGCTTTATATGGTGGAGCGAACAAACAAACAATTGCCAAGTGTCTCAAGTGCCGGTGAGTGCTAAATTCTAGTTAAAATTAAATCGAAGGGCTGGAAGAACTCACCCAAATAAAAGACATCCTCATAGCTAATGGTCGGCTCTTGGCCCGCTGCTCTTCGCCTGTTGGCCAATGCCGTGGCCTGCGTTGTCGTTGTTGTTGTTGCCCCATCCCGCCGGTTGCCGTTGCCGTTGCCGTTGACGTTGCCCTCCGGCAATCGTTCCGTAAAGATCACCTCTCCGTCCAGCTGCAGCTCCAGCCGAGTGCGATCCAAGAGCACACTCGTCCAGTGCCAGGCGCCATCGGCTATGAAGCCACTGGCCGGGGCCTGGACCGTGTCGTTGTTGCTGCCCAGGAGATTGCTGGCCAGCTTCAGGTGACCGTTCTCCAGGCCCAGGCCCAAGAACTTGCGGCGATCGTGCTCGCTCCAGAGGAGCAGGCCGTCCGGCTCGATCGTGGAGAAATTGAGGCTGATTTGAATGGCTTCGCGGGGTCGCACATAGAGCGAGGGTCCGCGCCGCTTGTCTTTCATGGGTATGCGCGGTGGCGGCAAGATCAGGTAACTGTTGCCACGGAAGCTCGGTGTTGTTGGTTTACTCATGGCTGTGGCGGCAGAGAGGTAGAGAGGGGGAAATGCATTAAACATATTGCATGCGATGCGATACGATACATAATTAAATTACAGCATCAGTGGCAGTCTCAGTATCTGTATCTGTATCTGTATCTGTAATAGACTCCACTCCGACTGCGGATTCAGTTTTCAGTCTTGGCTTCCAATCTCTGCCTCTGCTTTGGCTTCACTCTTAGCTTAAGCTACTACTGCATTGTTCAATCTTCATCTACACCATCTTTATCCGCATCTTTTGTTTCTCATAATGAGTTAGCTCTTTAGACCCTGATCTCGTTTGTTCCTACTTCAATAATCTCCATCTTTTACACAGAAAAAAAACGTCGAAATCTTTTAAATACTTAGAGCATAAAAATATACAATTTTCCAAATACGATTCAGTATTCAGATTAGGATATCTTTTCATTCCTTACACTATTTTTTCAGTCTATAGAAGGGATCGTAATAATACAAATTATTTATTATACAATTTGTATTATGAAAATTTCTATTCTGAAACAATTAATTTCCACAATTCTGTTCCTGGATAGTATTTATCTGACATATTTCTTTTATATACGTAGTGTCCCGAGAGTTTTTGACTGTCAAAGACCTGATTTTCCCCCCAGAAAATGTTATTACCAAAAGTATTGACATTTCAGTGGCACAAAAATATATTATTCTCTGTCGGTTTTAATGTCTTGTCGGGAAACAAGTAAAATGTACCTTCAGGATGTCTCTTGTCTCGTAATATCAATGGCAATGTGAGTGACAATAGAAAACATCTAAACTAAAGTATATTTTTTAGCTGGAATATTTGTCTGAAGATTTTCTCAGTGTACTGAAGACTTGCCTAATCTCTAGCTCTCGTCTTGTCTGGAGTTCTGATTTTCCATTTCGCTTTCCGCCGCAGCACTTCACCTGTCGCTGTCGCTGTCCCTGTCTCTGCCCCCCCACTCTCCTCTGTGCTTGTGCGTTTTGTATTATTTTCTTCAACTTCAATTTCAATTTCAACTTGTTTCTCTGTGGCATGTTAATTCACAATTTGCTAATAAGTGAAAGGCCGACAGCTGTGCGGAGTATCTCCACAGACTGGCAGATGCATGGGATTTCCCATCGTCAAAAAAGCTGGATTCGTAGATTGTTTGATTGATGTTTTGCTTGGGAATGATTATGATTTTCAGAGATCATCAAAAAGGTTGAATTATTGAGCCGTTATGGGGGGAGAGGGAACAGGTGGAGCTACTGATTGGAGCTGCTTGAGCTGTGACATGTACTTGATTGATATTGGAAAGTGTTTGGGAGAAATTCAATGCAAATTCTGATGAAGATTTATGTGGGGTTTTCAACGAGGAAAATTAGGGAAAATTCTTCTGAGTAGAGGTTTCTTGGCTGGAAAAGGTACATTTCCCTTAAATACTGGCATCAAACAAAATTCTTTAAGAATTCTTCAAATATCCGAAAATATCTGGACCAGATCGGATATGTCTGGATTTGGTATTCAATATCTTATCGAATTCAGACAATCTTTTTGAGACAAATACAAGATTTGAGAACCATAAAAAATGGTGACAATTCTGTAGTAAAAAATCATGAAAAATCATTAAAATCTTTTTAAAAACTTTTTGAAGAATAAAACCCCTGAATATTATGTACTGGAATATCTGCATACCTGCCGAGTATTATTACTCTTTTTACGCAATCAAGAGAATGTAGTTCTATAGATATCGCTCTACTCTCCTCTCCTCTCCCCTCCTATCGATATGCAAATCTGCCCAACGAATCCGCAGAGCATTCAACTTTGAGTCATGGCTGATTTTTAATTATTTTCCAACTCTATTATCATACGATATTTGAGTGTTCTCCTCGCTGTTGTTGTTGCGAAGCGGATTGCTAATTTCTGTGCCACTTCCTGACCCCGCTGTGCACTGAGCCATCCCGAGAGACATCAAACCAAACCAAATGCTGGGCTGCTGATGCTGCTGCTGTTAATGGTTATATATTCTGTTGTTGTAGATCTCTAATTATAATAATAATATTGTTCTGCTCTCGCTGGGTCTGACTCCGACAAAAAACTTGTTTCCCCTCGAAAAAAAAACCCAACAAAAAAAGAGATCAACAAATGAAATAAAATCATGTTTTGTTTTTCGGCTTCTGTACTTTTACTCGTGACACATTTGCGAGTGTTTCAAAGATTTATGAAACTTGTTTTATAAAGATTTACTGTTATTTATGTCACGGTTATTGAGCTGTAACTAAGCCTTCCCCTGTGTGCCCCTTTCAGAGGAAAAAGCACTTACCAATTTCACAGTAGAAACCGCCCCAGCCATTGGGACAGGAGCAGCGTCCGCTGCGCAGGCAACGGCCATTGTTTTTACAGGGTATCAGCTTGCAGGACTCGGAATATTCGCAGCGATCGCCCTTGGCATACTCCGGACAGATGCAGTGCGGCTGGAGCTTCTCGTCCAGCCAGCAGTGTCCGCCAGACTCACAGGAATCGCCGCCACAGGCAGTGCCATCGCAGTCCCGGATATTACGAGATTCTGTGGGGGCAAAGATTTATTAGCTATCGATCGAAAGGGAAGGGTGGTCTCTGCCAATACCCACCCAGAATATTGGTTTCGTTGAGAACAATTCTTGTGCCGCTGACAACCAAACCGCGAACACAGCCACGGAAGGGTATGGGGAAGCCCGAGATGGCATTATGCGGCAGCTTGGAGACATCTTTGAGTCCGCCTATGTACAGGAGCGAGTCCGGTTCGACTAGAACCTCTGCCGAGGGGGCCAGTGCCGAGGAGGCACTGCCCTCCACCCAGAGGGTTAGCCAGCGGCCCCTTTGGGCCATTTTGATCTTGTGCCATTCGCCGATGGCCAGCATCCGGACACTGCGCACCACTGTGACATGAGTGCTGGGTCCCGAGATGCGGAACTCCACGACGCCGCCCTGCAGCGAGAGCGAAACGAAGCCGATCTTCTTGTCCTGGTTGTTGTTCAGCGTCCCGAAGTACAGGAGCAGGCCCCGCTCCGACAGCGGACGCAGCTGGAACTCAATGAAGAAGAACTGCACGCGATGGTGCTCCTCGAAGGTCTTCGAGCCCATGAGGGGCACTGGCGAGAAGCTGCGCTGCTTCTCCACTTCATTGAGCAGCTTCATCACGAAGTGCGTGCTGGGCGTCGAGATGGGCTTCGGGGGCATCAGTTTCTTGGTGAAATTCCGATAGCTAACCATTTGGGAGCGCTTGGCGCCCAGCTTGTCGCCGGCGTCGTAGAGATAGGGCCATCGAACGGCCAAATAGGAGCGTCTGCCGGTGAGCGAGACATCGCTGAGGGAGCGGATCTCTGCGGGAAAGGGTAACCACAGGATTATGAGTGTGATAAACATTGAATGAGAGGACCTGGCTTACCCTCTTCACAATTCTTGCCGGTGCGTCCCACAGGACAATCGCATTCGTAGCCATTCACCAAAGGCACACAAGTGGCATCCTCGTAGCATTTATTGTTGAACGAGTCGCAGGGATTCGTGGGCTGAGCACACAACGGGCCATACCAGCCCTCCTGGCAGATGCAACTGCAATACAAAGAAATGCTTTTAAGGCTCCGTTGGGTACAATTCTGCGGCGTGCCACTCACGTAAAGGTAGCTCCATGCTGCAGACAGGCGCCGTCGTGCTGGCAGGCGTGTCGGTGGCACTCCCGGGTGCCACATTGACCCACTCCTCGACCGCGGACGCCTCGCGTCTCCTGCAGGGGCACTGTCACGGCGCCGGCCTTCAGCTGGACATCGTAGATGCAGCCCTGGAAGCCCGAGTGCAGCGGCAGGTCGTGTGGCAGGGTATTAAAGTTGGCTATTTCGTGGCCCCCCAGATAGAGGATGGGCAGGACATCCATCCGGCTGACGCTGCCTGGCGAACGGCCTGTGATGTTGAACTTTCCATCGACCGAGAGCCAGGCCTGCCGTCCAATGCGGCCCACTTTTATTTCGTAGGGCACTCGGGGCGCGTCCAGCCGGAAGTCGATGGGTTTCTGGGTGAAGATGCGACGCGGTCCGGCGCCCAGATTCCAGGTCAACATGATGTAGCCCTGTATGAAGCTCACGGCCAGATGATCGCTCTTCTCGTCGTGATAGCCCGATTGGCCCAGGAACGCCAGCAGGGAGATCTGCGACATCGTCTGGGGCAAGATCTTGAAGCTCAGCTCCACCGAGTACTCCAGGGGAATGGGCACCGTGTAGGCCACAAAAGAGGACAGACCGTTGACGCTGCCCGAGAAGGAGGGAAGAGCCACCTCGAGATCTGTAAGAGGGGGAGAGAGATGAGTGGGGTGTCTCCATTTTGGATAGCCAAAGGCACTCACTATGCTCGCAGTAATGTCCGTGCTTGCCCAAGGGACACAGACAGAGGTACCCGCTGCCCGGGAACTGCACACAGGTGCCGCCATATTGACAAGGATTGTCCTCGCACACGGATATCTCGCAGGTGGGTCCCATGTAGCCTGTGGGGCATTTGCACTTCCACTTCTCCGCCTTCTCCCCGTTCTCATCCAGATCGTTCGTTTCGATCTTGATGCAGGCGGCACCGTTGCGGCAGGGACTCGACAGGCAGGCCAAAGAGCCGCATTCCGTAATGCCGAAGCCGTCCAGGGCGTCGCTGCAAAGAAGGCAAGGTGTCATGCGCTAATTTCATGAAGTCTAATTCGATGTGTCAATATTATGGGACGATGTGTCGTCCCTTTTCGGTGGCAATCCTTTGGCGCCAATTGACAAACAGCCCCACAGCTGTCAGCACATTGACAAGGACACTGCGATGTGCCCCCCCCTCTACCATTTGGAGGGGGGGGGGGGGCCATCTGTTTGCATTCGCGCTTTTATGAACGTTGAATGCTGACGAATGGCTTCCGCATCCACTCCCCGCCCCCCCAACCTCTCTCTCTCGCTCTCTGAGAGCCTGTCCTTTTCATCAAGTTTGCTGCATTTTCATTTTCACTGACAGCACTGACTCTTTTCAGTGCAAAACTTGCTACGGAGTCCATAATATATAAGCTTTTAGTATGGCCATTTCGTTGGTAATTCAGGCATTTCTTTAGGAAAAAGATAGACCATGCGATACCTTGGACTTCTTGGAGAATAGCGCAGTTTTTCGCCTAATTTTACACTTTTTTATGCCATTTACATATATAGAAAATTGATTAATCCATCGAATAAAGTAATTTGTCCTTTCAAAATCACGAGGAAAAAGCTCTTAGAACCGCAGTCAACTGTGCCACAGACTCGATAGCGCACACGACATGTATTTTGTTTTGTGAATTCTCTTTTCTTTAGCACCTTTCGCTGACTGGCTTCGGTAGTCGAAGGATAAAGAGAGAGCATAAATTCTGCGCCACCCAACAATATTCTCTCTCCTCTCAAACATGGTCTAATAAATACATATAAGACCTTTGCCAAAGCTCCCTTTTCTCTGCCATATTACCTTGATTAATGCCTATCGCATGTATGACTCGGGCTAACATTATCAGTTTTATCGCTTCAGGCAAGTCGAGCTAATTTTTCCATGGATATAGTACCACAAAAAAGTTCTTTACGTTCAGTGGCCATATAATCTGGGTCTTTTACTGCAGCGCTGCCATGGAGGAAACGGCTTTCGCCACCTGGCAACTTTGTGTGTGTGTGTTTGAGCCATCAAATGGTTTCATTTTATTCCCGACAGTTCTGCTTTTTCATCGTGCCTTGAGGCACGGCCACGGGTACGGGTACTGTAAGCGGCATAAACATTTAAGAGATGCCGTATCGACCATCCGCCGCAGAAAAGTCGTAACTTTTTCAGGGAGAGATGTTCATTAGCCGTAGTCCAGCATTCAAAGTGCCCAAAGGGCAACACAAAACAAATATTGTGGTCGCTGTTTCGACTATGGGGATACCTGGTAGTGGCTCAATGAGTAGCAAAATGATTGAAATCATTGCAAAGCATCTAAGCCAAATGATGGGAAATAAGTCAGAGAAATTTCCATTTAGGTAATACAACATTCATTATATTTTGGGGGTTATAGTCAGGGGATTTTAATAAGATTTGGTGTATAGGTAGATAGGAGCTTTGTATATGGAACTCTATAGAGAAGAAACTCTGTAACTTTGAAATTGTGGACTATTTTTTTTCATTTTAAGCCTTTGCTTGTATCCAAACTTTGAAGATATGGGAGTGCCCGAAGACTAATCAACAAATATTGATTCTTTTAGCTATATTAGAACCTGAAATCCAACGCTCTAAATGAAATGACCAACAAACTTGTTTCAAACGATTCCAAATGACAAATATATCCTCTGTCACTCCTCTGCGTTACAGGGTATGCAAAAACAAGACAGAAAAACCGATTCGTATCGGTGGAGAGTACTTACCCGAATATTTCGCGCCCTTGTCCGTTAATGCGCAGCGTGTGGAGACACCCGGTGAAGCCGGTGCCGCTTTGTGCTGGCGGCAACTCGATAATCAGGCCAATCGGGGCTTGGGGGGCGCCGCCCAAGTGCAGCCATGTGTTCAGTATCGCCTCGGGGGTATGCAGTCGCTGGGGCAGTAGTTTCAGCCACGTCGGCTGATCCCCGGACATGGCCAATGTGTCGTTCACCAGCAGCGAGGCATTGCAGTGTGTGTAATTCCGGCTAAAGTCCAATCTGTAAAGAGGTATTTTCGGAAAGTTCTCTTTAGTTCTTTTAGTTCTCCCCTTTGGCAGCCCTTGGTGTTGCATCAAATATTTAATATGCCGCACGGTCCGCCCTCATTCTCTCTGTGTGGGGTGACTCTTCTCTGGATTCTGGGTCCACCCCCACTCTGGCTCTTCTCTGGATTCTGTTTGAGGCAGGCATCGGTACACTTTTAAAGCAAAATTCCCAACATGCCGATGCGTGCAAATATTTATGACACCACAATATCCCAGTACCCCCCCTCCTCCCACCCATGGCCTGGCAAAAAGGGTCCAGCCAGCAGGCTCTTGTTTGGTTACCTTTTGCCTGTTGACCTTTCGTCGCAGGTACGAGCAGTGGCACAGTGGTTATAGGTCTGACGGGAAGGTGTGCCCTCAGTCAGAGGGGAGGGGTGGAAGATGGTTCTCCTTTGTGGACGGTTTTTTAACTATTTCATTAATGTCGCATACTTTTTCAAGTTTTCGTCTGCTCTTTTGTGGGTTTTTATTTTAATTTTTAAATTATTTTTTTGTGTAGGTCGTAGACGGTCTTTTTTTTTTTACTTGTAGAATACTAATATAAAAAAATATAACATTTTGTTGACTTACTAAAAAAATTGTGCCTTTGTTAAACAAATTTTTCAACTAAAACAAAAATCATTAAAGAAACAAAATTCTTAAAAAAAAATGCCCAAAGTGGTTTTTGAATTTAAAAAAAGATTTTGTGTGTGTTTCCAAGTAACTTAATTTTTTCTATCGTGCAAAAGTTTTTGTCTCACTGTGTACTTTAATTACATTTTGTTGAGTTTTTTCTTTCTGGAAGGTCCTGCCATGTTTTTTCCTACCATTCCCCATAGACCCCAACGCACTGTGCCTTGGTCCATATCCCTGCAACAACAATTGCCTATAATGTCAATCGATTGTCAAATTTTTCCTGCGCCTTCATGTATTTTGTTTGGTATGGAATTCGTTACCCCAAACCTTTGATGTGACATCGAGGTGGAATACCAAATGGCAGGACACCCCGCTTCGCCCCTGGTTTTTATTGCACCTCATGGCCGAGTGTCACCTGCTTTTATTTGAATGTCCTTTATTGTGAGGACTCACACGGCTTGGCCGAAGTGTTTCTGATTTTATTTGTTGTCAGGCGGATTTTTTCACTCTTTTTTTGGGGGGGGGTGGAGGAAGTTTTGTTTGGGAGATGGACAAACTGGGATCCATATCTTGGCGTTTATTGCATTTGAATGTAGATATTTTAATACGGAAAAACGCCAGTCCAATAAATGCGTGGCAAAAGGGACACCGACCGATTTTATTGTTATTTTATAGCAGGCGGCCAAATGCTGTAAAAAAGTTACCCATACGGGTATGAAAAAGTTTTCCCTGATTGCATTTAGTTTTTACAACATATTGTATTGAATGGAGTGCTCTCGTACTCGCACTCGCACTCGCACTCGTGTGTTCTTCTGATTTCTTTTACCTTTTCAAACGAAATAATCTGATGATATTGTTTCTGGGATATTTGTTGAAATTTGTTTTGATAGACGGGTTTCGGATTGGGTTTGTTTAAAAGATTGGAAAAGTTTTTTTTGTTTTCGAATTAAGTTTTATACAGATTACAGTAACAGCTTATGTGGATTCTGGAACGTGGGATTTCTTCTACATAAAATTTGGAAAAATAAATCAACTTCATTCATGATTTTTACTCTATTAAATATCCAACTTAATTGGGAATATTAAATTTATAAAGTTATATTTCGATGTAACCCTTTAGATCGTTGCTTAAAAGCTTTTAACAATTAAATTTGCTGTAACAGGGCAATCGCGCTGTTAGCTTCCCAGGTTAACAACCTGTTATCGCTAACCGGTACCGCGCTTAGTTAACAGCGGTCTAACAGCTACAGCGCTCTGAGAGCGTGCTTGCTCTGTTAATACGATCCACTCGGCTCGCGGACGGCCTAAGCTTGTAAGCGAGATCTCACATAATGCGAGTTACGTTCCTACCCGAATGCCAGAGTGAAATAGACGACAGATATATTGTATATATACACCACCTATGTATCTTTTACTGCATTTTCGTACTCTTCGTAGGAAACAAACAGAATGAGTCGGAATATTATGGAAAATCTTGCAATCATTGGTGGCTACCATTCTTTATGATGTAATGAGACGAAATGTAATGCCTGATGGATACGAAAAATATTAAACCTTAACAAAATTAATACCAAATGAAAGCCCAGAACTAATCAAATTTATAGACATTTTTCCAAGGGATGGCCATAGGCGTAGTACTGACTATTCCATATAGAAAACCCTAAGCAAATGTGTACTAAAACCAATTAAATAATGCACTTCTATAACCCAGTTTAAAACCCATTAAATCATTGATTTATGCCAAGTAATTAGCATTTTCCTGCGTTCATTTAATAGTTTCGTTAGCGATCCGATAAGCCCAAAAACCCCAAAACCCAGAGCCCCCAAACTACAATGTTATTTAAAGTTCAATTAGCTGCATTTGACTGAGCAACAAATTAAATTACCATTGTTTACAATTTTCGGGGGTGGGGAGCACTCCTACTCCTCGCCGCCTTGTGGAGTCCTTGGACATAATTTATTGACACGCTCAATTGAATGCTGTGGAAAAAGTTTTTAGTTGTTGAACTTCAGCGGGGGAGAGGGAGCCGCCGAAAAGAAAACACAACTCATCTTAATTAATGAACTTAACTTTCGGGAAATGAATTAACCAAATACGTAATAATTAAAAGGAAATTCCTGTTCTGAAAAGCTCTGGGGGATCGGTACGGGGATGGGTGGGTTTATCCTGAGCCGCAATTAGGCTCGAAGAACGGTAATTGTTATTGCTTTCTAATTACACTAATTGTGCGCAACACCAGTTCGATGAAGGTCCTTAAGTAAAATGTCAATTGTATAGGGCATTAGCCTCATTAGAGGGCTGGAGTGCGGCTGGACCAGGCCTACCCCGAAGGATACATCCAGCGGGAGAGAGACTGAGCGAAACTACGGTTCATCGATGGCCGGACAAAGCCTCCATCACCGCCATCGCCTTCGCCATCGCCATCGCCATCATCATCATCGAGTGGCCCAGGGCGACTCAGGGAGTCCCTTGTGCTACCCAGTGCTCGGGCGATTAAGCACGCAAGGCAAATAAAAATAGGCAACGTACATAAATTTGTTGCTCGTAAATCCACTTGCCCCAGACCCAGAAAAACAACACCCGAAAACAGCCAAGAAAGTCGGTATTTAAGGGTCGAAGATGGGGATACTCTAGAGAATGTCTATAGATCTTAGAAGAGTTCTGCATGAATCCACATTAAATTTAATTTAATTCTGTGATTTATTGCAAGTCTTCTGAAGAATATTTCCATTTTAAATTTTGAATAAAGTCATCCAAGTCGAAATAGAGACCGAAAACGCATTCATCTAAAATAGGTGAATTTTTTAAAATTAAGTTTCCTTGGAAATAATGGTGTTCTTGATAGTTAAGCAGACATAATGGCTGGTTATACCATAAATACCTTGAAAGTGCATACTACTTCTATGTATTGTCTTCGAAATCTATAAATTCCTACAAAAACTCTCCTATACTCCTATATTCTATACCATCTAAGACTCAACTAACCATTCGCTGGGAAATGGTTATCCTTTCTTCGAAAACATTCAATTTTTTCACAGAAAATTGGACTATGAAATTAGTATCTTCTACTTTTGATTGACTTTGATCGATCTGCAAGAATCGATAAGGATTTAAGGCTACTCGTACTGATAAGTCGTTTTTCTTACGATCTAAGATATGGGTTTTCTGGTAGTTCTGAAACCACCCGCACTCCTACACCTACGATGTGTACTTTGTTTTTGCTTTCTCGGGCTCGAGTCTCGATCTTTTCTTGGCCGCATGCCCTTTGCCGAAGAACCGCTCTAGGAGCCATCAAGAGCAAGGATGTTCCTAGAGTCTGGCAGATATAGTTTACAGATACAACTAGTTGAAAAGCAGAAAGACATTTGCCATTGGCCATATCAAGTAGGCTCTCTGCCTATCGAATGCAATCTTCCATCTAAAGTTACAATACCCCTTTCCTAGGGTATCAAAAGTAAGCAAAGTAATATATATATACCTTCAACATGTACATATATATTACATGAATATATATGTATGTATATGGAATAGTCGCACCATTGGACATTGGATAGCCCCGGGCTGGGGACCAAGTGCTAAAAAGTAAATTTGTGGTCGATTCAATAGTCGTAAAAATGTGAACGGCAATGGAATGGCACTTGCTCTTTTCTCTTTTCTCTCTTTTCCTTTTTGCTAAATTATTTATATAGGTTTCTCTTTCACTCTCTCTCTCTCTCCCACGACTGTTTTGTAGTACTTTTTTGATATATTTGATGCCCTTAATGTCCTGTTTATGCCAATGTTTTGCGTCTATCCTTGATTCGTTGTGGGATTTCATTTCGGTTGCCCATTGGGTCTGTGTCCGGTCCTCTGTTCTGTTGTATTTGTCTAAAACGATTATTTGGTCATTTTCCATATGCGTTTGTCCATTTTTAAGTAATTGCTACACAGTTGAATTGTTAACAAGGACACTTATCGACCCCACAGCATTGAGTGTTTGATTAGCCGATAATTTGACGATTGAGTACTGTAAGTGCCAGGCATTTGAATATTTAAAGTGCATTGAAGGAACTATTAAACCAACAGGTTGCCGAGGCGGCACAGAGTCTGTAATTTATGAAAATTGGCTGTTGATGGGCTGAAAGAAGATTATTGGAGCACAAAAAGTGTGGCAGGAGAAAGTGAAGGCACTCTTTCTATCTATGCATTATTCACACACAAATTGGGTTTCAATTTATTTGTTTTTGACTTCTAGAAATATTTGTTGTTTGATTAAATAAAATACACCAAAATAATGCCATTAAAGGAGGTTTTATGCGCACAAAAATCGATGGAAAGGTGGACATTTTATTGGGGGTTCCCTTTAATGAGATGCCGGCAATTTCTCCTCCCAGCGTAGAAGGATTTAAACGGATTTTAGCGGCAAATTGTACAAACCGCAGAGATATGACCTCTTTCCTGGGGTGAAACTATTAGGGATAGTCACCTGTAGATTCTGTGAAATGTAGCAGAAAACATGGAAAGACAGCCCTGACCTCTATAGAAGGAGATCTCAACATTTGGACCCCTGATAGGCCCCCCCCCCCCCCCAATGTGGTTCATTAAAAGCCTTAAAATTCAGGGAAATTCCACATAAATCCTATTGGCCGGTACAAAATCAATAATAATAGTAGCTAATAAGTAAGCAATTTTTTTCTAAAACTGTCTGTCCAAAACACAATTCTATATTTATTTTTGAAGCTTAGATTTACTGGCACTCTTCTGGCGCCATAAATGGGGGACTTTATAATCCCATTTTCCTAATCCCATTTGAAAAAGTTTGCCAAAAACTTTATATTTCCATTCCCGAATGCCATGGGGGATAATTTTAGCCCCAAAATTAGCCAAAGTGTTTTGGCTTTGGTCGATGGAAATGTTAGTTAAACGATTAATTACGCACCAGTCCCGTTCTACATTTTTACGTATTCCCCCTCAGGGCGGGAATTTTCCTAGTGGGCAGAAAATTAAATTTTCAACCAACGCAAAATATATGTAGCACACAAAAAAAAAGGAAGGGAAGGGAAGGGGAAGGGCCAGCCAAGAGGATGGAAAATCTCCAAACTAATTACGCATGGATGGCAAGTGGAAGCCCCGCAGGATTTAATGTTCAAGGAAATGGGAGACCGGAAGAGAGAAAGAGAAGAAAACCTAAAAAAGGAACTGCAATTTATTCTACACTTGAAGCATTATAATTTGTGGCCTCGGCCAAATGGCAAATGGAATTCGACACGGGCCAAGTTTAATGGCCGACGGACAGTCCACTGACAGTGACCCATATGCTGACCTCCGGCCCGCTCCGGCCCTGGGCCCTGGGCTGTGGACTGTGGACTGTGGACTCGGGGGTCGCAGTTTAAAAAGTTAATTAACATGCCAACAGTTGTGTGTCCGTGTTGCCCCCTGTGCCCCCCTCCCACACCCGCACTGACCCTTTCAGCCATCCATCTATCCACCAATCACCCCGTCAAGTGGTGGGCGTGACCCCCGGGGAGGAGGGGCCACACATAATTGCATTCCGCGGTCCCCACGTCCATTTGGCACTTACTCAGCTCGAATGGTAATTTCGTGGCCCGTGTTCACCGGCGTTTCCAGCTCACTCAGCAGCATCGTCTGCAATCCGCACGAGAACTGGAACTGCATGAGTCCCTTCTGGAGGAACAGCGCCATGTAGTGACCGCCCTTCGTGCCCTGGGCGGCGGCCAGCATGATCAGACCATTAGTGGCCCTTGTTCGCACCTTCAGCTGGATGTGCATGGGCAGAACGGCGTCCAGGGCCTCGTGCTGTCCAATGTCCTTGTAGATGCGATGCGACACATACGAGTCCCCGGAAAAGGCTGCATTCCGTATGACGATAGGCAGCTCGCAGAGCGGTCCCTGGCGATCGAAGCGGCAAACGCACTGTAAATAGAGATTTTAACAAATTATTAGATAGGTTCGAGAAGGTATCTACGATGTACGAATGCCAGATAATTTTTCCTTTTTCTAAATAATTTAAGAACTTTTTTGGGTACTCAAAAGTTGAGATATATCTTAAAATTGTATACTAAATCGAAGGGAAAGCACTGTTCCATGAAGGATGATAAACAGTAGACAGATAGATCCCTTAGTTTTTTAAATATTGGACAAATATCTTTTAATATTCTTTTGATAAATATTTATATAGATAGATATAAGATTCTAAAACTTTTAAGAAGTTTTGAAAATATTTCAAGGATTTTTCAGATAAGAATATAAACGAATATATATTCTAAATTGTATTCTATTTAAACAGATATATCTATAATGATAGATTAAAGGCCTTTGTTGCTCTAGCCTTAAAAATAAAATACTGTGTATTAGAATTAAGTACTCTGTCTTTTCTTAGTATTAAAATAAACTATAATAATAATTGTGAAATAAATTGCATCTTTTAAAACTTATAAACTGTCTCTTTCGTTCCGAGTTTGTGTTAAAAACTCCGCTAATATATCATGCAGAAATTCCCATTTATTCCACCTCGAAAACTCCCCCAAAACATATATCCTCAAAATCCTTTACAAACTCCCACAAAATAACTTCGCTTCTGGCCAGCCAGCCAGTCAGCCAATAAATGAAACAAAACTTGAACAATTTTAATTTAATTTTGGCAACAACTCCTTCTGGTCGCCTTTCAATAAGAAGACCGACCCGACCCGTTCCGACCGTTCCGAAAAATGCCAATAAATTGAAAAGTAATATGAATTAACTTTCTGGCTCTCCGTCTTGCCGTCCCTTCCTTTTGTCCTGGTCTTAATAATTTATGCCGCCGCCAAGGGACACTTAAAGTGCAGCTAGCCAGGAGCTGGTCGGAAGGAAAACTGCAACAGCGGAAAGGCAGGCAGCCCGGCATCCAGACAGGCAGGACAATGGCAAGGAAAAGGAGCCACGCACTTGGCTGGGACGCGGCTGCCCCGAAAAACTTTTGTTGTAATTTTCTTTAGCGAATGTCCTTTTCCTCGTGCCGCGTAGCTCCTTGGGGGGTGCCGGTACTTCCCATTAAATTGAGCAAATGAAGTGCAAGGCGAGTGGGAATCTCTGGCGCAGTGAAGGTAGCGGCGGCCCAGTCACGCAGGACATGCCCGGGAGTCTCCTTCCACTTGTGGGTCCCCTTAATGGGAAGTTGGCCATATGTTAAGGGTAGCTCAAGGGGTCTCTGTGTTGTGTGGAGGAGCTTCTTGAACAGGTGAAGAAAATGTTGCAAAGTTTTCGCCGGTCTTTGTCTTCGCGGAAAGTTCCCGGCTTTCCTTGAGAGGGTATCAGTTTCAGGATGTTTTTTCCCTGGTTATTTGTGTTGTCTGATTTAATCGAGTAATTGGTAATGGAAAGACAATGTTTGCCAACGATTACCGATTATATTTGTCTTATTAGATCCAATTATGAATATATAAGAACTGTTTATCAAACATCCATCAATAGACGATACAAAATACGTTTCATATATATATAAAAAAGGCAAATTTACACTCTCATTCCTCCCAGATTTAAAGCCCACAAGACAGCGATTATTTTCCCCCTAAAATATATATGCATGTAATTATTAAAACAATCTCTTAACCTGCTGTGAAAACATTATTCATGTTTTTTGCTTGTTTTATATTTACAACCCGACACGCATTACAAATGACCTTCCCCCCCAAGCCCAAAGGAGTTCCCCCAAACACAGCGGAAATGCCCAACCAGCGTTAAAGGATTCATCGCATAATATTACTTAACTGCTTAGACATCGCATCATGCCCCACCCCCGCCCTTAACCCCATCCTGGCAACAAATTTCCGCTGCTCAGAAGGCTTTTGTTTTGCTTTGTGTTGCTGTGTTTTTTTAAACATTAAAACCAGCGCCCGCTGAGACGCAGAGGATGTTGTACATCAGCATCATCATCATCAGCAAGCAGGTCATGATTTGAACTACATCGTAGGATGGAAAACAATCAGGGTACTCTGGAAGAGGGTACTACAATTTGGTAGGGAGTCTTGCAATGGAACACAGAGCGAGAAAGAGATGAATGTATATATTTTGGAGCAGCATCAAATGTGGAAGAGACCTACATATACCCAAGGCAGACTTTTCCTATAGTCTGATTACTAGGGTATCCTATCCTTCGGCTTCAAAGGTTATCCTTTCTTTCTTGTATTTTCATAGCATACTTTTGGGAGTGCCTTATTTTTAGCCCCATTCCCCCCTCCGACTACCATGCCTATTTCTTCATAATATTTTTGTCCTTGAAAATATTTTTATAGAAAAAGGTTTTTGTTGTTTTTTAGCGCTCCTTCATAACAATTATTTGAAGTGTTTGCTGGAAGTTTGCTCCCATTTTTTTGGGTTGAGCATTTTCTACGCGAATTCCCGCTCTTGTTAGCCAAATGAAGCTGTGTTCGTGCGGGCGTGTGGCAAGGAGGCTTGGAAGGCTGCGGCAGGCTGTGGCAGGCTGCGGCAGAAGTGCGTATCGAGGGCACCCGCCGGGGCTGCATTTAGTTTGCGCACAAAATTTTGTTGTCGGCACTTTTCGGTGTGCTGTTTTTGTTGCTGATGTAGGGGGGGAAGGGGGGGGGGGGGGAGCATGTTCCCAGCTAACAGGAAACATTTTAATTAAAGCTTTTGACCTTGCGGCATTCGGTTGGCGCATAATGAATGTGGGCCCCAGCAAAAGCACCAAAGCCGAAATTGAACCAAAAAATCGTCTAAAAAGAACAGAAATGAAAATGAAAACGAGTCAGGGGCAAACATGTGGCAGATTTTAGATTTAAATGCTGATGAGGAGGCTGAGAGTCTGAGGCAACGGAAATGATGTGCCGGGGCTTTGTTTTTTTGGAGCTTAAACACATGGAAATTTCTGGGAAATTTATATAAAATGTAATCAGTGGAAAGTGAAAGAAACGAGGGAAATATATGAAGGGTAAAATTATACAAAATATGGAAACTGTTGTACTAATCACATCTCAGATTTGAATAATCTTTTGGGATTAATTTATTCTTAAAAATATTTTTGAAGTCGCTTAAATTGATATGCAAGTTTTCGTGTACAGTAAAATCCTTCATTGGCCCACAAACCCCCTTCAACGCTATCAATTTCATGGCATAATCCTATTCAAATATTCCCAGAAGGATCCGTGAGGGACCCTCTGTGCTTCCTGTTGATTCGGTCTCATTGCGTTTCGGTCAGATGGAAATTAATTGTAACACGCTTTTCGAAATGTCAACAAGCAGATGCCTGGCATGGTCTCTGAATGTGAGTGAAGTGCACTCTTCATACAGGCCAACGCAGGGGGCGAGAGGGGAGATTGTGGGGGCCAGATCCTGCCAAGCTCAGGACGCATTAAGCCCGGCGAGATATGTGGCAGTGGCAGTGGCAGTGGGAGCGGCACCGTCGGCGGTGGAGGCGCCTAAAAGGGCTCAACAAAGTTTTCATTAGTGGCATTGGCGGTGTGCGGCAAAGGCAACGCAATGCAGACAGTAGACCCAGAGCAGATGGGGAGGATGGGTAGGATGGGGGTTGGGTTGGAAAAGCCAGGAAAAACATTTCCGAAAACCAAAAACTCGGCGGGGTAGCACTTGAAATGTGCTTAATGCCACTTTACGAGTGACTTTCGCCCGAGTGCGAGTGCCACTTTGCCTGCACTTCACCGTGGAACCCCCCCACACCCTACTCCACCCTGTGTGTGCCCCTCTTCTTGGCTTATTTCCGCTCTCTCTCTCTCTCTGCCTCTTGCGGAGTATGCCCCGCACTCATAACGCACACTTGCTTAACCAATATGACAGCTGACATATGTAAGTGTCTGTCTTTTGCTCTCTGTCTGCCTTTCTTTCTCTCTTTTTTTGTCTCTTTATACAAATGAATAGAGTGGGAGTAATGGGTGGCCGGAATCTCTGAAAATTAACAAAAGCTTTGTCTGCGTGTATCTATGTGTGTGTGTGCTGTTGTGCCTTTGTGTGTGTGTTTGAGCAGTTAGTTAAATTACTTGGCAACAATAAAGTGGCATTTTCTCTATGAAATAATTTTCACCCACTTGCCGGCAGCCTCTTATGTCCCACCCCCCCCCACACACACACAGGCGCTCTCTCGTTCTTTGTTTTACCCTGGGAGAGGGTACTACGATTTTAATGGGATATTTGCAACGCAAAGAAGGAAGTATTTTGTTCAATAATCAGCACTCCTTAGACGAGATCTATCTGAAACTTGGCAAACACCCATATTTGGGCTCAATCCAGGATATGGGTAAGATTTGACAGGATCACTCCTTGCATAGCCACTTGAAAGATGCAGCTCTTCCATAACAACGTCCAGAAATATATTTATAGTATTCTATATATTGCATAAGAGTGAGAGTTGGAAATGCCAGTCCAATGCCTAAGATTTCTCGAGATAAAAACCTTATGATTTATTTTTTAATATATTTTCACATCTATTTATAATTTTTGATCATTATTAGAACACTATATCACTATATTTGCTGGCTAAGAAGTTTTTCTGGAAGCCCATATATATAAACGATTTACTGAAACCTTTTTCTACCAAAACATAAAGCTTCATATGTTTGTATCTTAAGTTAAGCCACGGATCCTATAGTTTTTCAACCAAATATTATTATAATTTAAGGACTATATGCCATAGGAATAAGAATTAGATCCATACTTCTTTAAAGCTTCAGAATTCTTTTTTCTAGTGCCTTAGCAAATACTTGCAAGCCTCATTTGTCGATATGCTATACCCCAATCTATACTACACCCAAGAAAAAAGTGCCCAAGTGCCATCCCTTATCCTGTTTAGGTCTTGGCCCACTTGTGGCTCACGCTCGACCATGAGCGCTCTGTCATACCCTAACGAAGTCATACTGCGGTGATGTGTCACTCACTCAAGCCTTAAATTTATTATGAAAATTTAATTTTTTCTTGTTAGCATGTGGATGCGGCCAAACGCTTTCTCTCTCTCCCTCTCCCTGTGGGTGTGTGTGTGTGTGTGTGGGTGGGTGGCATGATTCATAGGTACACTTTGGAGATGTACGCGTGTTGGCAGCAACTTTCTAAATAAATTGCCAGTTGGCTTTGTTAACTCATTAACCGGCAAGCGAAAGCAGAAGGACTCTCCGCCATAAATTAGTTGGCATTAGTGTTGGTTAAGTGTCTGGAGTGTTGGTAAAAACGTGGCACAGCTGTCTGTGCAAATACAAATAAAGGAGAGGTAATTTATAAAGTTTAAACTTTCAAATAGCATGGGTTTTGTGGGCAAGCACACGCTAAATGCACTTTGGCTGTTTTGCTAGTGTTGGTTAATGTTGAAGAGTGTTGGAAAGCGAATGCAGGCACTACTGAAATTTAAAGGAATTTCTGTTCAGAGACAGAAAAACCCTTGTGCAAATTTCCATCCATCTAAGGCCATCATCAAGTATGAAAGTGTGACTGCACCTATGCCACCTATCGGCGTCCCTCGAGGGCGACCCCAATTTGTCACGCTGCTGCTGCTGAAGCTCTTCCTCCTCTGCTTCCCTCTTTGGAGTGGATTGTACGTATAAATTAGCCCTGCGTCGTCGACTCTCATATCGAAGGGGCGCTCACGTTTCGGTCGTAAAAAACTGGAATTGCATGCGGTGCTGTTGCTAATTTGGCTAACGCTGGAGCTTCCTGGCTCTCTGACATATGTGCGGCCATATGCGTGGTGGCCCTAATAGACTACGCTGCTCGCTTGTGGTCATCCAGATACTGCAATATCCGTTGACCTTCATGGTCATGGAATGCTTTATGGTTTATGAATGAGCTGTGGCGTGTGGTGCTACAATTATCGGGATGTGGTTGTAAAGCTGTTTAATGGCGGGGAATGTTTTCTGTACAGGTGGCCTTGGGGATGGTCTCGATATTTGTATATAAATATTAGAGTAAGGAGTGACCTTGGAAGAGTTCTAGGTAAATGTTGTGTAAAGTCGGTATAATAAGGTTTGAAATATACAGAAAGAAGGTAATGTCCTGAATGAATAGATCTTGAATGTCTTAACCAAAAATATCAATCAAAACTGGTATTAGACGAACGCAAAAGCAGTGCTGTGTAATATCTAAATAGGGTTTAAGCAAAATATGGTATCGCTAAGAACTTCAATGAAATGTGGCTATCCTACCCATGAAAACTGATTAAAAACATTATTGAACAGTGTTAAACAACGCTGATCTGAATGTCAGTCTTGTGTAACACCTAAACAAGTTTAAATTTCAATTAAAATACATTTCAGTACACGAAAATCCGCTTCCAATTAATATTTCCAGTCATTGGGCAGAACATTCAACCGGCAGCCTCTACTGCAAAACAATGTGTATTCCAAAGCGTATACATTTCCCTTAATCAGTGTTCGGCAACGTTAAAATTACTGTATGGCACAAAATTTCAGGAAATATGAAACCGAAAACAATGGTAAAATACCACCCCATGGCTCATATAACTATCATGCATGCCATTTGCTTTCTGCACAATTTTCCGATTTACCAGCCATTAGTAGTCGTTCGAAATTTTGTTGCGTGCCACGCCAGGGACTGTCCGTACACTGCTATGCCTGCCACAATTAATGGCCCCAGAGTTTTGCCATTCAGTAGAGGCAGGAAAATTCGATACTCGCCCCCATCAGGTCATATTTTTGTGTCCTTTTTTGTTGGGGGGTAAAATTACCGCAAGTATTTTCATAAATAGTTGAATAGGCATAGGACCTGGCCTGCCTGCCTACCGGCCTGCCTGGCTTCTATTGTTGGAGCCACTCGGGGGAACGCTTTTATGGTTTCGAAGTGAACATTTTTGTTGCTTGATTTTCTGTCTGATTTTCCACCTGATATTTTGTGTCTGTTGTTAATGCTACTGTTACGAGCTCTAGTACGAGTACGAAAAGTTTTTAACTATTCATTTATAAGAGCAATTGGCATTTTCTGGGAATTCTCTTGCAGGTAAGGGGTCCAGGGAATTGCCCGAAATACGACTAAGAGCAGACAGATTGGGCTGCTGCTGATTGGGGGCGGGAGAAGTTTTCCCCGGAAATGTGCCACAAAATACTTGTTTCAAAGTGATTTCTGATTCGAGTTCTGAGAAATGCATTTGTTGGCGAAATAATGAATGAAAGGTATAGGTTTTTGTGTGTTTCTATGAATTTTGATTGCCCGTTTTCGTATTTATGAATCTGCAGAAGTTTTAAATGTTTTAAGCGCATGATGATGGATGTGATGAAGTTTGGAGTGTTTTTTAAGGCATAGGAGAGTGCTGATTTATAATGAAATGTACATTTTGAAGGGTTCAAGCGTTTTTTCATGATTTAAATGCGTTTTATGCATTATGAAGTGTTGTGTAACGTTATCAAAAGGTTTTGTATATTTCAAAGTGTTGTGTAATTCCCTTAAAAGGTCGTAGAAGAAAGAAAACGATAGTAAAAATGTTCTAAAACTTAAGAGATAAAACCTAGAGATATCTGTAGCCACTACAGAGTTGTATATCTCTCAAAACAGTGTTGAAAAGTGCTGCATAATTATTTTCAGAGTGCTTTTTGAAGTGTCTCCCATCTTAGATTCCTTAAACTTTCTTTGAACTTTTCTGACCTACCTTTACTAATTGCAAACTAAAGCCATCGAACGAGAATGGGTCGGGAATTGCCATTATTTCGTTGAACATTGGGCCACCCAAACTATGTTACATACAAAGGCAGGTCCTGCTGCAAATCAGTGTGTAACAGACAAACACCCATCCACCCACGTGCCCCACGTTCCCATCCACATGACTGATTATTTATGTATGAATGACCCGGACACATCTGTGCACTACCTCCTGTATCTGCCTCTGGATGTGGCGTCGTGTGTGCACCTGGGCATCTGTGGGGCCATTTCAAGTTGTCAATTTGCAAATTTAGTTGCTCCCTCCGTGTGGCTGGGAGTGCTGCTACTTCTAATTTATCCCATTAAAGGGTTTTGATTAAAGTTGCTCAATTTGCATCTACGAATTGGCCAGAGATTGAACATTGAGCTCATTCGTGGATGAGGGTATAGATCCGACAAACACCCCTTTAATTTTGTGTATTATATATTTTAAAAAGATATTCTGCATCTCTTGTCATGCACCCGACATGTATGTTGTTTTCGCAAATACTTTCTGCAGCATTCGATTGTATGGGAATGATGGAAGAAGTTATGATCTATTTTTCATAGTGAAACACATCCATGAAGGGAAAGTGGGCCTTCTCCGGTTCCAGTAGATCCACCAAAAAGCAAACAGTACCGGCCAGACCCTCATACAGGCTGTGGGGTCTATCGGGGACGCGTGCCTTCTGCTTGAACTCCTCGCTGGTCATCAGCTCAATGAACTTGTGGGCCCTGTACAGGTAGATCCTCTGGTGGGTCAAACGGAAGAGCAGCAGAAACACATAGCCATTGCCGGCCACACCATGACAGATGCCGGGACCCTTGCGAACGAAACCCTTGCGCCATATAAAATCGGCTGAACGGACCAGGGACCTCAAGTACTTTGGCTCCAGGAAGATCAAGTAGGCCTTGGCAATCAGATAGACGATACCGGGAGTACCGTGGCACCACTGAACCAGTCGCTTCTCGCCTTCGTCCTCCAGGGTCACGGGAAAGTTTCCATCGACATCCTGCTGCGTCAGAATGCAGTCAAGGGTGCGCTTGACGTCATGCAGTACGTCTGCAGGAGCTGAGATGTCCATCAACGGCGATTCTGACGCCTGGGAGTGGTCTTTGCGAAACCACGGACTGTCCAGGAGCACCTGCAGAATGCCACAGAGTCCTTGGGCGGCGCCCAGATACTCCATGCCATGATACTCGTACATCAGCGGCAAGTAGGAATGGTTCTTCGTGCTGTACTCTCGACCGCTGGCTATTATAATCTTGCAAACGGAGATCAGGTCCTCGTCGGGAATCTTCTTGCCGGGCAGAATGTCATTCAGCCAGTAGCAGCCGGAGAGATAGCCGGCACGTCCCACCAACATAGAATCGGAGCCGCCGTCGTCTTTGCCTGATGGAATGGCCGCCTTAAAGTTCGCCAAGTCCTTGGCCAGCTGCTTGGGGTCCTTGAGGGCCTCAGAGATTGCGGCGGACACCGCATAGATGCCAGCGTTGCCCCTGAGAAAGGAGTAGCTCGGCAGAGACGAAGGTTCCTTGAAGCGCTCGGCGTTCCTCTTGGCCTGGCGTATGAACATCGATGCATGCTGCAAGGCTGTGGGGCAGAGATCACGGCCATGCTCGCTGCGCGACAGCTTCCAGAACATGAAGGCTATGCCGGCATTGCCCACATACAAGTCCCCGCAATCCTCCCTACGGGGCTTACATTGCTCCAAGATGCTCTTCACGTAGCTGGAGATTAGTTCTTTGATGAGTTTTTCATCCCAGGGTAAGACCAAACCGCTCTCGCCCACTCCTGCGGTATCTTGGTAAGGATTCCTCAGGTAATCTTTACCCATGTTCGATGATGGAGGCTACGACTAGAGTTTGGTTCTTTTATGCAAACAAATTTTGGTTCTGTGAAGCAGAAAGATTTCTGTGTGGTGTGTTCTGAGTAGCTCTAAGTATTTGAGATGGTAACACGAATTTCCAGGCATTCTACGATCCACAAATCAATCGCCTGAGAGTCCAGAAACAAAATAGAGTATGACGCATGAGTACGAGCGATTCTTTCTCCATTGCATAAATCAGCACTTTCGAATGAGCGGATTATGCTATATTTAGCTTGTTCTCGAATGCGAAAGTAAGTAGCAAAGCGGAGGCTTGAGGCTTGATGTACTTTTAGGCGTTGTCTGCCATTTTCTCAATTATTTACCGTCGCGTTTGTCTCCCTTCCAATTATCGGTGTTGAGTTCGTTACTCTCGTGCCTTTCGAGAATGAGAGTTGCGCCATTACGACATGCTCACACGCACATTTTCTTTATCTTGTTGTATTCGTTCGTCGGTGGTTGCTGCTCTACTTGTTCAGATGTTTCTTGCACTATACAAGCCCACAATGGGCCATCTTGGGTCTTACTGGTATTCTCTACTGGTAAATATTGGTATGCAATCCATTCACAGTCACACACACAAAGAGATCAAAGCATTTTGTATGTAATATTTGGGTATTGGATCATACAAAAAGTACTTAGGTCCCGTTTAGAAAAGGATGGGTCGTGGTAGGAAGAGGGAAATGGGCTATAACCTGTTACACAAACACCGTGATATGAATAGCTCATATACTAGATATTCTTTGTTATTTATATTTATATCTAGTATCCCTCTATGCTCTTTCTAACTCTTTATAGGGTACTCTTTCCATAGACTCCCTTCAAAACATCCATAGTGTGCTGCCTGCCCTGTTTACCTATTGCCTTGGCAATTCGTGGAGCCCTTGCCTGGCATATTTAATGACTTATTAATGGACAGAGGTGGGGCCTGGCAAACGGTGGAGGCTCCGAACTCCAAACTCCAAACTCCATGGCCAATTAGCAACTCAATTGGGCTGAAAATTGTGAAGTTGACTGCCTCGATACGTACGCCCCTTTTTGGGTGTTTTCCCCGCATCGAACAAACAAATCGAACGATTCCGTTCGAGGTGCCAAGTGTTGCTATCGATTGACCTACTCCTGAGGCTGAGGCACAAGTCGGAATCGTAGTCGGAGTCGGAGTCGAGCAGGGGTCTAAGTGGATTCAATCGGTTACTTACCCTGGAACCCTCCGATGTGGTTACGCAGGTGCCGCCATTGTAGCAGCCCACCTTGATGCAGTCCACATCTCCGGCTTTCTCCTCGGGCACACCAGCACCCGGACGTCCTCCACTGGCCACTGTGTTGGAGCCCTCGACCTCCTCGCTGCTCTCCGTGACGGGCTGCCTCGTCTGCGCCGGCGGCACTTCGACTGCGTGCTGTGTGGGCGGCGGCAGAGTTTGTGCGGATTGTGTGGAGGGCGGCGTTGGTGGAATCGTTGGCGGTGGCAGGGTGGCGGGCGGCTGGGTGGGTGGCAAGGTGGGAGCTGCAGTGGGGGGCATTGTGGGAGCCGCTGTGGGCGGTTCCGTTGGTGGCGAAACAGGTCTGAGGGTCGGCAGAGGCATGGGTCTCAGGGTTGTGGGAGGCGCAGGTGGCGGCAGCGTTGTCTCTGGCGGAACGTACGGCTCCGCTGTGGTCTCTGGTGCCGGCTGCTGTACTCCAATCAGATCCTCCGTTTGCATGGGCACTGCCGTGGTAATCTCCACCGGCAGGGGCGTGGTCACAACCACATGCGGCGTGTGATGGGGATGGTAGTGGTGGTGATGGTGGTAGTCGTCGTCGTCGATGGGGGTCGGCAGAGTGCTCACGATCTCCCCCGGCAGCCCCGTCGTCTCGTGCTCGTGATGGTGATGGTGATGATGGTGGTGCTGCGTTGGAGGTCCTCCCGTCGTTGTCATCAGCGTGGCAATGGTGGCATTGCTGTCCAGAATGGTCACCACAATGTGGGGCGTGGGGACCGTGGATAGCTCTATGGAGGGGGTCTCGTATTCCTCGGGGGAGGAGATGGTCGTGCCGCGGACTGGTGGCTGGACGGTCGTGAATCTGCCAGCGCTGGTCCGATGGGTGGTTATCAGCACCTCTGCCGGATACTCCGTGAAGAACGGAGCCGCTGTGGTGGAGACCTCTGTCCACAAGTGGTGCGTGGACGTTGTCTCCTCCACCCCCAGCGGGGGCTCTGGGGCAAAGGTGGGTCTGGGCACGGGCACCACACGCGATGTCGTCGTCTCCTGAGGATAGTAGGGCGTTGGTGTGGGCGTGGCACTGCCGTAATCCACAGAGATGCTCGTCTCGATGGTCGTCACGCGCTGCACAAAGATCGGCCCCGCCGTGGTGCCCATGGGCTGCTGCTCCGCCGACTCCGAGCTCGAGGAGGCAGAGGAGGCATAGTCCACGGCAATGGTGATGCTGGGCGGGGCAGTGGGTCGCACTGTGGTGGCTTCCTCGCTGCCACTGGCACTGCCACTGCCGCTGGCACTCACCTCGAAGCGAGGGACAGTTGTGTATTCCTCGGACGTGACGACGACCTCCCCAGAGGCCTCCGCCGAAGACGATGTGGTGCGCGGTGCACCTGGCAGAGGCGGCAGAGTGGTGTAGATGCTGGGTGTTTCCTCAGAGGAGGAACCAGCAGAAGCTGAAGCACTCACTCCCGGGGTGGCGGTAGTTCCTGGCTGGGGTTCCGGCTCTGGTTCCGGCACCTCTGGACCCACTGTGGTTTGCTCCACGGAGACACTGTGGCTACCGCTCTCGGGTGGTGCCATTGTCAGTGGTCTAATCTCCACCGAAACCTCCTCCGAGACAGCCTGCGCTTCGGTGGTGGCGGCAACAGGCGGCTCCACGGGCGGCTCCACGGGCGGCTCCACGGGCTCTTCGGGTACGGGCGGTGGCAGGGTCGTCTCTGGCGGCGTGACAGGCCGCACCGTGGGCGGTGCCAGCGTGGAAGTCGTGGTTGTGGCCCGTGTGGCTGGTGCCTGCGTGGCCGGGGCCGTGTAATTGCAGTCCAAGGACTCCTCGCCCACCATCAGACACTCGCAGAGCATGCCCGTCAACAGGGGCGGGCAGGAGCAGGAGAAGGTGTCCACGCCATCGATGCAGACGCCGCCGTTCATGCAACGCGGCCCCAGCTGGCACTCGTCGTACTGGTACTCGCACTTCTCGCCGTGGTAGTCCGGCACACAGTAGCACGTGGGTATACCCTCCTCCATGAGGCAGAGGGCATTGTTCTGGCAGGGATTGTCCGCACAGATGAGTATCTCCTCCTCGCAATTGATGCCCGTGTAGCCCATGGGGCAGGCACAGGCATAGGCCGCCAATTTGTCCACACAAACGCCGCCGTTCTGACACGGCGACGACTCGCATTCGTTGATCTCCTCCTGACAGATGCGTCCGTGCCAGCCGGCAGGACAGTCGCAGGTGAACTCCAGGCCGGGCCCCTCCATGCATTCACCTCCGTGCTGGCAACGGGCCCCGGTGCCTAGAATACGACACAAAAACGTTGAATGACTCAGTCTTCAGCTTACAGAAAACATGTATTCGAGGCTTTTGTGCCGCGACTCACCCGTATCGCAGACGGCCACATCCAGCTCGCAGTGATCCCCCAGATAGCCCGGCTGGCAGGTGCATATATAGCCATTGGTCCGGTCCCGGCATTGTCCGCCATTCTGGCAGGGATTCGACATGCATTCATCGACGTTCTCCTCACACTGGGATCCTGCAAGGAAGAACACAAATTGAAAGGATGTATTAATGACTTTCAAACCGTTTTAATTATAGAAACACGAACACAACATACGAGTATATGCCAGTCCCTCGAGTGTAGTGGAATGGATTGGATTGGTATTTATTTATTTATGGCATCACTTTGTTTGATATTGTTTTGAGGTTTAATTATTTTTGCCTGCCGCAATTAGCTTTTCATTTCTTTTGCACAAGAATAATTGTTATTGTTTTGTGGCTTATTTATGGAATTTAATTGCATTTTTTGCTGCCATTTCAATGTTGAATGTTGCCTATTTCATTTTTGGGCAAAGAAAAAGTCAAAAGATAAACCCAAACAATTTTAATTAATAACCAAAGGGGCAAGGGCCCTACATTTCCAATATTTCGCTTCAATTGAACCCTTTTCAATCCACAGGATAACCCTCTTTGACTTCGATTTCGTTGCGAATCAGTAGCCATCCTTCAGAATGTTCTGCATTCGGAACAAGTGCAATTGAATGACCTTTCATTATGCCCTTACCAATCTGAATTTCCCTCTTTTACTCTCCAACCAACCAATCTATCCATATATCTATCCATCCATCTCCTTGATCCCCCCATCCATGTCTGCTTTATTCCCCCAAAAAGGCATCAATGGCAATCAAAACACAACCTACAAGTGCTGATTTGGTTGCAAGCAATCTAAACAATTCAAAAGGATATATCCACAGATGCAAATACACATTCAGATACATTTTGGAGTGTGTGCGCGAGTATCTCTGTGTGTGTGTGCGTGTGAGTGTGTGGAACATGACTAAAATTTGTTGCTGTCTTTCAAAATTCTCTGTATATGAAGTGGAAAAGAGTAAAAGCGAACACAAGTGGAGGAATCCAAAAGAGAGAAAGAGATCTGAAATTGAATGCTCTTTCTTTAAGGGATTATCGTTTACAGTTAGGGAAAAGGCGTCTACAGGATAAAACCTGTAGGAGGAGAATATATATATATTTTTTAGACCAGCTTCCAATTCTCATAGGAATTCGAGGTGAACGTTTTAAAGTCATTCAAACAGACCTTTTATAGGGAATTAATGAATAAACCTACAAATAGATACTTTCAATGCTAAAACTTCAATATAGAACTCTGACATGTGTCTCTGTCCATTTGAAAAGGGGTTTCGTGTTAGAAAAATAGTAGCTCTGATTATTTTTGTTCGACTCTTCTTCGAAGGCCTAATATCAAAGGCTATATCGATTCTATTGCACTACCGAATGGTTCATAAGGGAATTTTCTATAATACACTAACAAATTTTATGTCTTGTGCATGACTAGTCACATTTTCTTCTAGACTGAGACCGAGAATCGGGTCAAGTATCGGCTTCGGTTTCGAACATCAATTTGCAGTGTCATGCCCAAGCAATGTATATTGTTTTTGCTGACTTGGGACCGACTTTGTGTATTATATTGTTAGATTCTGGAGACCGAAAAGTCAATCTTTGCTGTGTCTCGCCAAAGACTGAGTACAACACCTTTTAATACGAATTTTATTGACTTATTTTTAAGGTTTAAGAAGCCCTAGACTTTTCGCATAACTAATTTGTCATTAAGCTACAATAAAGCTGCATTTAATTACTCCAAAACCCGAGGACCCCAGATCCTGGGTTTAGACAACTCTGCCAAGAAGCCATACAACTAATATATGTATTGTTTATCCGCTTGTGACTTCAACCAATCTAAAGCTTAATTTTCTATCATTTCCCTCTACAATAAAGCCCACAAAATGGGATATGCCCACTTTGGAATAGAGTAATCTCTGCCCAGCTGGGAGATATCTAGTTTGACAGCCAACAATGGCAACAAATGCTTGAAAATACTTTTCAATTTTCTGCTCAACAACTTGCAGCGACGTTGACTTGGTCTCCGTCTCCGACTCCGACTCCGTCTCCAAACTCCGAGTCAGAGTCAGAGTCAGTGTTCTGCCAAAAGACAGCAACTGACAGGCGAACAGGCGGACAGGCAGACGACGAGTATCTGTTCTTTTGTGTGTGTGTGTGTGTGGGGGGGTGTGGGTGTGGTTGTGGGGGAGTGGCACTCAGGCCCCCCATGGTGAATGTTTTAGTTCTTCATCTCGAAACTGCAACTGCAACTGCAACAACAATGCTCTGCGTATGATATCATTCACGTGTGTGTCTCTTTCTCTTTCTCTCTCTGTCGCGTTTTGTGTTTTTCTTTGGCGAATTTATTGCCAGCGAAATATTTTGTATGGCTGAACTTTTGGGCTGAAATTTATTTGCCCGGCATGGAAAACGCCTTTTAGTTTGCTTACTGCCATCTTCCATCCCACCTTCGGCGGGGGGGTGGGGAAACTCTTTTGGCAACAAGTTGGCGAGAAATATGCTTAAAGTTTTTTCCCTCATCCTCGAGCTCTTGTCCTGGCACAAAGTTTCCTCGTTTCGCCTATCTCTCCGAAGTGTCTGGGTCTGCCTCTTGGTCTGGTGGAAAAACTTCTTCCCGGGCAGAGGAAAAAGGCAAAACACTTCAAAGTGTCGAAACAAAAGTGTCAAAAAAAAAAGAGGAAGAAACGTCGGCGTGGAAATGCCTTTGCACTCTGCCCAAAATTAATGCCCCAAAAAACAAAGGAGAATCTCCTTAATTTAATGCAGAAAATGCCATCAACAGGGGGAGGGCGGGGGGCCACAATTTATCACTCGAAGGACATCAATTATAGAAATAGTGGTACTCGGGCTTATGCTGATGGACAGCCAGGCAGAAAAATAATATGAAGAGAATATATAAGAAAATATATAATATAATATAATATAATATAATATAATATAATAATCTGAGAGACTAAGGGATACCTGGTAAGAGGGAGAAGATACCACGTGAAATGCCAAGAATCTCTCATAAAAATAATCTCCTCTATTAAAGACATATTTCCAAAGAGAACTCTATTACGGTCTATTGAATAATCTTCTTTCTGACTGTAAAAATTATCCGATCGGAATGAGGAGTGCTAATATGTTAGATAATATCCTTGTAAATATAATAGCTTTAAGGAGTTCTATTGCATATCTCAAAAAAGAAAGCTATTACAGATTTTTCTTTGTTTCTTCCATATTGATTATCCTATTGCGATGATTTTTGTTAGATTGATAGATTGTATATAAGATTGGTAGTAGTGTAAAAATATCAGAAATTCCTATATGTACATACATTTTGGCAATAATAATCATTAATTATCATTATTGAAGCATTTCTATGGCTATGTAGATAATATCTTCAGATATAAACGAGATACAGTAAAGCCAAATATATTAAATATTATATAAAATTAATTATATAATATTAATGATCATTATATACCGATGAATTTCCATGGATAGATAGATTTAAAATAATTTGAAATGACATATCAAGAAAACTTAAGAGACCACAGATTTTTGTGCATTCTGCCAATAATAAATATCTCAGCTTCTTCTTAATTTCTTCTGATTTCTGGCCATGAATTTCGATGGATAGCCAGAAATAAGCACCGACAAATGTTCAATCGGGCGCCTCTCCAAAGTCCAAACGTTCGTTAGACAGAAAGACCCTGCCATAGCATAGATCCCTATCAACAATGAATAAAAATAAACTAAATAGAGTATTTTGCCTCTCACATACACAATCATAATGACCACACACACCCACTTCGGCTCTTCAACGGCCATAAAGGATACATGTGTGCGCCTGTGCCTGGGTCTACGGGGTGGGAGAGGGTTGGGCGGAGTCCTTGTCTGGTTTATAATGCAACAATAATGTAAGTCTATGCAAATGATATGAGGAAACTGCCCTGGCAGGCAGCAACGAGGGCTACGAACATGTATTAAATTTGCATAAGCACTAAATCAACACAAAAACCGAGGCAAAGAAGCCAAACGGACAGTGAGAGATACCCAAAATCCTGAGTCCTGAAGAGTCCTCAAGCAGCAGAGGATGTCCGTTCGTGTCATTTGGCTTGGCCTATGGCTGGTCTTTGCCTCTGCATTCGAGAAATATCTAAATCAAACTACGCAGGTCCTTGGTTTTGTGTTAAACATTTCGATTGCACATCTCCCCCGTCCCAATGATGATTGCATTCGTTGGGCCTTGTTGTAGATGATAATTTAAATGATAATTTTCATCTGAATTTTCGTATCATTAATTTATGTTGCAACACTTCTGGAAGTACGTTTCCATTTCAGGCTACAAATTAGTTCAATTATGGTAGCCAGAGACTGGGCCCAAGAGGATTGACATTTCCAATTTGCGAATGTGGCTTTGGCCAGGAGCCTTTCAGAGCCTTTGAGGTTAATTTTCTTGAAACTCTAATGGGAAGACTTTCAATGGGACAACTGTACTTTAAAGACCATCATTTTATGCAGATTTACTCGGTTTTTTAGCTCTCAATCATCGTCTGAAAACATTTATGCCATCGTCAAACATTTTCAATATTTAACATATCATTTCTTGGGTGAATTATAGTATCTTTGAAATACACCCCATAAAAAGGGAAAATAAATAAAAATCGTATACAAATTTATGGCTGGAAGGACACCATCGGCTGTCCTGTTCTCTGGCTTACATTTCGATTGAGTAATGGATATGGCAGGACAGCCAGCCAGCCTCGGACTGCGGCACATTCTCGTATTTCATGGCGAGCAACAGCTTCGCTTCAATTTCCTCCCGTTCTGACCATAAACTCCCATCAAGCCAGTCTCTGGGCATCTCTGGCGGACAGTGCATTGCACATTTCAATTTGTTTATGGCCCCGATATGGGCCAAGCGAGGCAATCGCTTTTGCTTTATGATATTTTACTGGCTTTTAAAGTGTTTCGAATGTATCAATTTTCCTTATGGAAAACATCGATCCGATGTTCAATTACGGATCTCTAGTTTTGCTCATCTGCAGTGGCATAATTCACTTTATTGCGCATACGACATGTTGACCAAGAGTCAACAATTTCTACATCTACTGCTGCTGCTGCTGCTGG